TATCATAATTAATGATCTTTATGATTGTGATAATTAAGATTATATGTTTGATCTAAATGTTAACAACGATGAGAGGTCTGGGCTTTAGTGATAAGTCTGCAGGGTATTTTGCCGTCGATCAGCTCCGCGATTCTTGTTATTCCTCCCGTAGTTCATAATTCATGTTTGTCTTTTGAAACTTTGAAAAATTGACAAATTTGTTAACAACAATAACGTTTTATTGAAAAGAATCACTGACAGCTCAGCGCTGGGAAGAATTTGGAGGTGAGCAGAGAGATATGAAATGCCAAAGGAGATACGAAATAGCAAAACAGATATGAAATAGCAAACGAGCCATTCGAGAGACTCAGCTTGGAGAAGAAGATGGAATTAGCTTGGATATATCTGAATATTTATATATATTCTATAGGTATATCTATATAAATATAATTTCCAAGACTTTTCTGAATGCCATTGTGAAATATATGAAATCGAGACTCTTGCAATTCCCTAATAAATAGCTTAGCAGACCTTTCAATCGCAGTCAGTCTCAGGCGCTATCAATTTCGGAATGAGAAAACCCCCTTAAAAACACACTCAACCCAGTTTTAGCAGCTTAACATAATTTAAAAGTCACTGGGACTAACAACTACAATTGCCAACTGAAAATCAATCAAGGTAGCAAATTGCAAAGGAGCGAGCCGACGTGATGTGTGTCAACACTTTCGCTAAACCCGCAGCGAATGGCGCAAGCAAATGGTGACAAAATATATATTTGAGTGCAATTTAAATTGGGTGAAAAATCAACGACGCTAAATAGAGCCAAGGCGAAGAAAACGACGCAGAAGAAGAGGTAGAAGCAGACGGCTGAGGCAGCAGAAGTTCAGCTTGGGCGAAAAGTCAGCGTGTGTGAAATTGCTGGGGCGCAAAAGCAGATGGGCGAAGAAATACAATAAGCGAGTTTGATTACAAAACTTCGACAATTTGCTACAATTCCAATGAGAGCGATACAGAGTGAGAGAGAGAGATACGATATAATTTGGCAACCTTTGCGATGATGTATGATATTTGCTTTGATTTTGGTTTTTGGGCTGCGGCTCGGACTTGGGTTTTGGCTGTTGCGCAAATGGCTACCTGAAGTGGATGTGGCTATGGCTGTGGATGCTGCCCCCTGCACGTTAACGACTGCTGCTGCTGCTGCTGTTGCTACTGTTGTGGCGGATGCGGCATGTGCCACATAGGATGTTCTCGACTCGACCCGTCTCAACTGTTTAGCATATTCATTGTTGATTGCAGCGCCATGATAATTATAATTCCTCGTTTAATTCTAGTTGTACATCTCGTTTTCTTTTTTCATTACTATGCGCTGCCTTTAATTACCTTCCTCTTCATGTGGCTGTTGCTGTTGCTTTGCATAATTGCATTGTTGTTGCCGAAATCATCATTAGAACTTTTATTTGCACAATAATCAGCTAACTGCAGCTGCATTGTATTTGCGCACAGCTAAGCCCAAAAAAACTCATTCAAAGGAGCTCATAAAAGCGAAAAAGAATAAAAACAGCCAAAAATGGCAAAAATCTGCGCTGAAACCAGAACAATAAAAACTCGCGAAACTCGAAACTCGAAATGCGTTTATCAAGTTGCGCTCTGTTTAGGAGTTGTTTCAGTAGGATTTAAGCTTGAATAATGTGCGCTGTGAGTGAATTAATGATATGTCATGAATTAGGAATAGGCACTCGTTGCAATAGCAACTGCAATGGAGTAAGAACTGAAGTCAATGAAGGTACTTGTATGTGTGGAGAGCTAGAGATACTTCCTGCCTGCTTGAATGTAAAGGTTCGTTGATGGCTAAGCGTTGCTTCTTAAAAGAATTATATATTGGGCAGCGATATCTCTAGACATGGTTAAAAATAACAAATGATAGTGAAACACAGAGAAATAGAGAAAAATAGAGAGAGAAAGAGACACTAAGAGAGGGGCAAAGAGAGAGAAATAGAATACAACGACTTTTAGAGATATATCGTGAGAGAGAAGACATGTCGACACAGACAGTGAAGAAAGGCAGAACGAGAGAACAAAGAGAGCTGAGAAAAAGAAGAGAGCTCGCAGAAAGAGATGAGGAAGAGGAAGAGAGGATATAGAGTAAGACACATCGTGATTTGGATACAGAAGAGAGAGAGAAAGCGTCATCGAAAAAGGGTTAGCAAAACCTGGTTAAATTAAGTAGCCAAGTATCAAGCGATCCTTTTCCTAGGGTTTTCCAAACGCTGAGCTCGCATCTGTAACCAGAAAATCACAATAAGTTCGGGGTCTCGATTCATTGTGTCCTAATCAAGTATCTACTTTATCTGATGCTACAATATTTTTTCTCCTCTCCAAATCCCTCCTGAAATCAAATACAAAAAATCTTTCAGATCTATTCCGATTTCAGATTCAGATTCAACATGTCAAAAACCTTCAGAAATGTCAATGACTTGCCATGGAAAGTCTTCATCTGCCGGCAAGGACAGCGTGCTATACAACTTCTATTAAAATAAATACAGTGCTTAAGTAAATAATAATGAAATAATATTTATTTTATAAGAATGTGACAAAATTACGCCATAATTTTCTTAGATTTTGTTCTAAGCCATTCGCTAGGTAAAATTCCCAGCAAGCTTTATGAATGCCCCTAGTCCATTAGCTTCAGCACTTGAGCCTATATTAAAAAGCCATTGCCTAACAAATTTAATAAATTATAGTAAGCAAAACAAAAAATGGCCGCAGTAGACAGAAACGCAGCACAGCAAAGAAAAAACCATTTAAATGAAGCTAATGCTCCATAAAGCTGACAGCAGAATCAGACGACGCACACAGAAAATGATGCGAGGCAGCAGCAAGTGTCAACAACAATATGAAAGTCAGCCACATGTGTGTGCGTGTGTGTGTGTGGGTACATAATTACTTTATCAATGTTTTCGTAACGTATCTAAACCAATTTTCAAGAAGCAGCTGCTGTTGGGTTGCTGGTGGCACCTCCGTTCGGCTAAAAGTCAAGGTTAATGCGGCCAGCCAAATTATCCGGACGTTCAAGATGATGGCACATGTTGTGTCTGCGCCGCCTCCAAGGGCAGCAGCGCGTCGAATTATCAACGGGCATTCAGCAAGAAAAGCACACAAATAATAATCCATAGCAGCGTGTGAATCAAGTCTTAAACACTAATAAAAATATGGCCACAAGTCCATTGGAAATGGGCCCCATCGCAGAGCTATATTAATTACAGTTCAGTTCGGATTGGCTGAACGCAGTTTGAGGTTCATTATGAAATGGCAGCACCAACGCCTAATGATAATGGTCATATGAAATCAAGTCAGACAAGCGTACGTAGCTGCTGCCATTTGGAGCTGGCAGTCGCAGCATATTTAGGCTTTGCTTGTTTGCAACCGCCGTGTGGCAGTTGCAATGACTGCGCTGATTAAGGGAATTTCTCACAGACAAACACAACAACAACAAAAACATAAATAAATAACTGGAAAACTAAACCAAAAAGCAGCAGCAGCAGCAGCAGCCGCATTGCCAAACGTTTCTTATTGCTGTTGTTGTTGTTATTAGTTGTAGCTGCTGCAATGCTTTTCTCGAAGGTGAACCAGAATGAGTCTCAGTCCCAGACTTCGGTCTCCGTCTCAATCTTAGTCACAAGATTCGTCTCTGCATGCACTTCAATTGAAGCGCATTGAAAGCCATCTCGGCTCGATATATATATATATATATATATATATACATGTATATATGTATATTCCCTAGCTTAACCGGATTGCCACTGCACATCTTTTGAAAGTGAGCGGCTGCTGTCGCTGGCTGCATCAATTCTAGAGCGAATGTCTGCTGTAAATTTATTGCTGCGATTTGATTTTAATTAGTTTAATTTATGATAATTTATAATGAAAATACATTTGCAGCGTGGGTTACGGATTTGCGTAATTAAAGCGCTTAGCAGCATCCGACAGCTACTCAAGCTGCTGCAACTCCTTCCATTTGAATACCTTTTAGAGATTGTTTGCCTAAGCTGATCATCAAGATATATCCAATATTAAATACTTTACTATATTTACAAACTTAAAATTTATTGATACCAATTTGTCTACTTAATCATTTCATTGCTTGGCTACAGCGCTCATTCTCTCAAATAATTACTTTCCATTATCAAGTTTGTTGTCTAAGTCTTTTGAAGTTTGTTTCCTAAGTCTTTTGTGTTGAGTCTACTTGACTTTATTATAAGACTTCGTTCTGTCAATATTATTAATAGTTCTTAACAAGTTCGTTATCTGAGTCTTTTGTTTGAAGGGATTGCAGAAGCAGCATCCACTCCTCAAGCTTCACTTCCAGCTCTCTAATTTAAGTTTTATATATTTCAGCTCTTATTTCATACCAATCGAGTGTCAAGTTCGTTGCCTAAGTCTTTCGTTTTGATCACAATTAAGCGCTATTAATTACAATCATTTCGCCGCAATTAAACGCTGTGACAGGCTTACAAGTTCGTTGCCTAAGTCTTTTGTTTGGCTTTCATCAATAGCTCACAAGCCAACTGAAAATTTGCACTAATTTTGTGATTTTTTTAAGTTTTTACAGCAACAACACAAAATGTGCCAAAATCATAAACAAACAAAAGCCGCAAACAAAACAAAGCAGCTCAACAATGCTGCAATGCCGCTGCGATGCTGCGGCATCTGCCACAGTTTCAAATATTTAGCGATGAATGCGAAGCAGCCAGAGAGCCGAATGAGCGCCAATTGCACGATGATTGAGTTTCAGTTTCGGCTGCTGCTCGCCGACGATGACGATGACGATGGCGATGAGTTTGCTCTTTGGCAATTGCGGCGGCGGCAGCAGCAGCAGCATTGACGATGACTCTGTGCATTTGGCTTGTGTAGCGGCGCTCATCTATTGGCCCCCAGCCGAGTGGCAAACGACGCCGCGACGCTCGACCTGCTCTTGAGTATAAAACTAAAATTGATGCGAAATTTTTTCTAACTTTTGCATCAACTCCAAACGCGGCAACACGTGCAGCTCGCAGCTCGCGACCCAAAAACGTACGAACCAAAAGAAAAACAAGAAAAACAGATCAACAGAAAAAATAAATAAATATCAACAAACACATCAAGAGTTGTTCAAGTGTGCGGTTAAGTGCGTGCCTCTTAAGCTGAGAGATTAATTACGTAAAGTTTATAAATAAAAAAACTTTATAATGGCAGAAAATAAAAAATATACGAAATAATTTGATAATAAAGCAATTGCTGGCTGGAAATTGCTTAATTTGAAAAGATTTTAATATGCGTTGGCTAAGTTACTATATGCTGATGGCTAAGCATTGTTAATTGGCAAGGAATCTATTAAGGAACTTGCCTAAACTATGGAGTTACCTAAGGACATTGCGTGCAAGCTGTGAATTATTAAGAACTTTCAATACAGTGTTTAATAGAATCTTAAAACTTATTTTATATGTTTTAAGAGCGCAATGAGAACTAGTTGTACAAGGATACAGAGAGATACATATGTATATTGATTATTGAGAACTCAATCTCAACGGTTCTCCAATGCACATCGAAATGTTGTATTAGGATGCCTAATTTGTACATCTAAAGGAGATAAGAAGATTTTCTGCTGAGCCAAAGCTGCTAGCTTAAGGTTCCATAACCCTGAAACCAGGTTTCGATTGAGAGCATAAATGAGCTTGGGGGAATGAAACGTCTTTGACGCATACTCGAAATGAAAGACAGAACTCTAGACTGTATGGAAATCATAGCACTAGAACTACTTTAGTAGTTTCTAGCAGTACAGCCTACGCCTTAAATTTGTCAATTCAATTTGATTATAATCCAACATGCACCATCTCTCAATTAAGTTCAATCAAAATAGCGCCACATTAGACTCAACGTAATTATCACCCACAACGTTAAGTTAATCAAGCATTAAACGTAATCAAAAAGCAATAGAAACTGTATTCAAAAGCCAAGTGGCAAGAAGTGAATGTTGCTGCTCTCAACGGCAGCAGCAGTGGCAGCATCATCTGTTCCTGGCAATTCAGCCACCACAAACATTAGAGAAACCACCGCAGCTAACGTAACCACAAATGCCCATTACCATTTGCGGCAAGGCATAAAATTCCAAAAAGAGCCAACAGCCGCATGCATCAGAAAATAATAAAAATATAAAAATGAAATCTAATTACATGCCAAAGCCGAGAAAAAACACTTGAGAAGACATCTTTGCTGCTTGGGCCCAATGCAATTTTCCAATTGCAGCTTCCTTTCTAAAAATACACACACACATCCACACACAAATTGGATGCTGTGTATATAACATCTAATAGCACTTAGCTTAGCTCGTCTCTATTTTTCTCTTTTCGATTTTGTATTTTAGATAGCAACAACAGCAACAACGAACAGCGAAACGAACACACAAAATCACATTTAAATTACGTATACGCCGCGTAGCCGTAAAGCCCAAAATCACAGACATCATGGCAGCCGCAACAACAGCGAACAAATCACCACAGCAACAACAACAACAACAACAATCTAGCAGACAACAGCAGCAGCATCTTCATCTGGCAGCCAGCAGCAACGGCAGCAGCTCCGCCTCCTCCTTCTGCTCGAGCAACTTCTTTGCCTCCTGCATGTCCATCGTTTTGGTTGTCGTGTTCGCTGTGCTGCTGGCAGGAAACTGTGTCAATGGGGTAAGTTCGGTTGAGGGCGCAACGTGAATCCCAACTTGGGTCTCAACTCTCAACTGCTTATTTGCTGGTCTGCATGTCCGCCCCTCTCTCTCTTTCTCTCTCGCTCAGTCGATTTGTCTATTTATTGCTCTTTGTCAATTATCTTTTTCATTTATCGTTGAAATATTTGGCGCTCATAAAACTTTATAGCCCTGGGAATACAAGCGCATTAAAAAAATTGAAAACAATTTGATAGCTTCATTAGCGTTAGAATGGATATATCATGAGCAGCAGCAGCAGCAGCAGCAGCCACAACGGCAGCAGCAGCTAAAAAAGTGTCATCTTAGATAATTTCTATACTCATTCAAAGTAAAAGATTGCGCACACCATTTGTCTCTTGTCTGATTGCGATCTACACACAGCTAACATCGGCAGCTACAACAAACTCCCACGCAAAGTTGCAGTCGTAGTCGCCTCAGTGGCAACAAAAACAACAACAACAGCAACAGCAACAACAATGCAATTGTTGCCAAGACAAAAATAAAAGTGGACCAAAAAGTCTCTCGATTTTGCAAGTGCAGCGACAACGTCGTCGTCGTCGTCGTCGTCGTCGTCGTCGTCGACCTGTCTGCAAAGTGTTAGACATCTTCTCACGTCCGCAAACGCCACACCAGCTTATACGAACCCGATGCTCCTCCATTGGCCAGGCCGCATTTCCCATTGCATGCAGACCTGGCTGGCTCAAGGTGTCGTCATCGTTTGGCTTTTTTCTTCGGCTCTTAGTGCTGCTGGAGCTCTTTACTCTAGTCTTTTATCAATTAGCCTTGGTGAACTGCTCTAAGCAGCAACAACAACTAGAGCAAAGAAAGGAAAATTGCTCGCTTTGCCTTTGTTGTTGTTGCTCTGGAGTCTTCGCCGTCTGGTATTTAAGCAGCCAAAGTACTTACTGCAGCAAGAGACAAGAGCTAGGCAGCTGGGTTACTGTGGCACTGGGCGGCTATTGTTGTTGCAGTTGCAAATGTTAAAACCTCATGAAAGTTATTAGCGTGCAGCAGGAAATTGCATAGGCAATAAAAAGCCGTTAAACTGTTTGGTAAGAGCTGAGAATTGTTATCGAATAGTTAGCTCATAGCAAATACATAGTTATCGAAAAGGAATTACCCAGCTTACTATTACTAATAGGGTCACCCTAAATGCAGCTGAAGAATGCACTAAAAAATAATTTAAAAATACTAGTTTAATTTAAAAAGGACTAAAATAATCTTGTCGTTAGCGTTACAGTATTTTATTTAGAATTAGATTATTTGCAGAACAATATATATTTAAATGCAGCATAGAGCAATATATTTTAGTGTGCGCTAAATACAAAATGTGATAATTACTTAAGCCTCTAGGCTTCCCTTCATAATTCATTTACTATTACGTCCCACACTTTTCCATTGATGTTTTGCAACACTGCTCATCAGCATAATGCATTAACCTCAAATTGAAATATAACAATAAAATAAGCACTTTAACATCGGCACCAGCAAAAAGAGTCCATCCAAAGCTTTTTCGTCACACGCCTTGCAAATGAATTTATTTAAGCGTAACGCAGCAGCAGCAACACTGCGAAATTGGTGTCGAAAAAATGTATTTAGATTGGAATTGAGGCAAGATCAAGATAGCTGAAATATAGGCCAGTGACATGCAACATGTTGCACAGGAATACGAAAATGGTATGGATCGAACAAAAGAACAACAGAGCTGTAGAGCGCTGCTGTCGAATGTCAGTCATGGGAATGTCATCGCCTCTGTGTATGTGTGTGTGTGTGCGATGGTGTTGCCACTTGGTCGCGCTTTGTTGCTGTGTCAGCTTTTCATGGTTTCATACGCATGAGATTGACAGTTCTCTGTTGTTTTTAGAGAGGCTTTATTGTCACACACACACACATGCACACAAACATACCCAGATAACCACCCACAATTGCACATTTTTCAACACTCACTGATTCTTTTGTTGATCTTTACTCATTTTTTGTTCATATTTTTTGCTGGTTTTTCGACAGATTTTTCGGTTGATGCATTTGCATTTTAAATTTTCGGTTTCTGTTTCTGTTTCTTTTTTTATTTTTCGCATGTACTAAAATTGAGTGTGTGTGGCAATTGTTTCAGGCTCGTAATTTGTTATTGTTTAGACATCATTTTGCTGCTTGTTTTGCCGCGATTTTAAATATGCCCTGCTTAAGCAACCAGCAGCCGAACGAAGGTCAGCGCTGCAGTTGCACTCAATGAGATAATTCACATACCCATGCACGAGCTGTACTTGAAAATCGCATCTCATTTATGGCTTACTATTGCAGCAAATTGATGGCTACATAGCTGGCGAGGATTATCCAATCTATGATGCGGTGCCCAAGGGTCTGTCGTTCAACTGCCAAGGTCGTCAGCCGGGCTACTATGCGGATACCGAGACGCGGTGTCAGGTGAGCTAAGGGCAACATCCAGGCTGAACGATTTGCTGAACAAATGTTACTCAAGCAATGTTTTCCATGCTCTCTCTTACTCTCAAGGTCTGGCACTGGTGCCTGCACTCTGGCCATCAGTACTCCTTCCTCTGCCCGAACGGCACGGTGTTCAATCAGGCTGTGCGCGTCTGTGATTGGTGGTCGAATGTCAACTGCGCCAGTTCCGAACAGCTCTATCAGAATAACGACGAGCTCTATCGCATACCCGAGCGCAGCCAACAGCAGCAGCAGCAGCAGGCTGAGGTATGATATAAGGCTGATGATGAGTATAAGATTGGGAAAGCACACACAACGGCGGAGGCAGTGAATCGGCAGCGAGGCAGCAGACAGCGACAGTTTCTGGCACAAAACAAAAGCAGCAGCAGCAGCAGCAGCAGCAACATAGATAAAAGCAAACATAGCAACAACAACAACAACATCGTAGATAGCACCTCACCAACCAACTACAGTAAAATGACCAAAAATAGTTTTAGAGGCAGCATGAGATACACAACCAATCAATCTCAATCGTCATACTCATCATCACAGCAAGAGCAGCAGCAACAGCAACAGCAACAGCAACAATTTAACTCTAGTAAATATAGCGAATATCAAAGTAGACAAAATAGTGGCAGTAGCCGTAAGCAGGGCAGTAGGAATAGCAGTAGAAATAAAGGTAATCAATTTAGCATAGCAAACACGTCCTCTAGACATAGCACACAGCACAGCAATCACAGCAGCAGCAGCAGCAGCAACAGCTACAAAAGCAAACAACGCGGCAACATGCGCTACAATTTGAATAAATTTGAGAACGACGATGAGCTCAAGGATTACAAAAGTAAAATTAAAAATAAATACAATATCGATTATGATCATTCTTTGGATGAAGAATATGAAATAATTGAGGCCATTGAGTGAAAATCTGCACAAATTAGAAGTTACAAAAACAAATAAAGAACACCTCACACAAAGCTTTGTAGTTGTTGTTGTCTAATGGAAAATGTGCTGCAAATTGGCGCCAATTTGTTTACCTTCTTATAATACCCTCACCAGTTGGCACGTTACCCGATTCCCAGAAGTTGTATATATATATGTATATTCCCATTTTATATAAATTTTATGTACCTGCAAAATAAAATGTCTATAACACTTGTATGATTTTCTATTGCATACTTTTAGGTGCTCAGAATATAAAAGGCGAGCTTTGCTTTTGTGAGCTGCCCGTAGATCGTTGCTATGTAACTCACGCTTGCCATTGAATATTTATTATAGCCAGCTCTTTCTCGCACACTTTGTTATGGCTACCTGTTTATTTTAAAAGCTTTGCTTGCAGATCAGCTGCTGATCATATGGCTTTCAGCTTTGCCCAAGCAGTGGAAATGCTGCGCTTCCAGTTTCCAATTGTCAAAGTTAGCTGCGTGTGCGTTGTCGTCTCTTCTTCTTCTTGTTTCTTTTTTTGTTTACTCAACAAAATGTGCACGTATAGATAACAATGAGGTAAATATAATACATATAAGATTAGCCTGCGCAAAACTATGCTTAAATAAAGCAATTTTTTGAATAAGATTGATAGTGTTCAGATGTGACTGACTGTAGATGTTATTGTAGGTAACTTTTTGTAGGGAAGACAGCCTCAGAAAGTTCGAGAATAAAGCAGAAGCAAAGAGAAGTTGTTCGTGAAGTATGCATGTGTACGGAATGTGAAGTTGGAGTCAGTCAGTTCTTTGCTCTTTGCAGTATAATTTATTCAACTAGAGTCTAAGGGGATACTAGCTTAGCCCACACACAGATCCAACCAGTAGAAATATGAATGTGTTTGGAATGTAAAACTCTAAACATAATTCTAACACAAATCCAATTGGTTATATATTAACATGAAGTTCTTTCGATTGCTGATAAGAATTTATAAGTAAAGCTGGTTTGATAAATCCAATATGGTTTTATTCTCAACTCACATTTCCAATAAGAATGTAATTAGTTTACACCAGACTTCCAAGCGCATACGGAAACAGAGAGACCAAAGCCATAAAAAACCCGGTTATACAAACAATAACACGCTCAAGCTTCAGGCCTACCTAATTAAAAGTCAATTGTCAACATTTGGTCATTGGGCAGCGACAACTGACACAATTTGTGCAATTAGCGAGTAGAAATGCGTGTCAGACTGTCCTCCCCCACTGCCTAAGCCAAGCAGGCCCTCAGCAAGCCCAAACAGCGATATGTATCTATGACGGCATCTACCTAAATGTTTTCATATCATGTTTTCAACTGGTTTTCTTGGCTTGGCTTGGCCTGGTCTGGCTGCTCGCTGGTCACCCACATTTTAATGGGTTACTGCCAATTGGACGACAAATTAGCGCCATTTGCATTATATAAAAGCGAATTACTTAAAAAAGCGTTTAATGTCTGTTACGCTTTGTGGGGAAGTATTTGCTAATTAATATGCAGCTAAATAATTTACTATGTGACGCAAATGTCATGTAGCCAAGAAATTGAAATTATTATATTGCTATATATGAGTGAGCTTGAATTACAAACGAGTAAGGAATTCGGGACAAAGACTTTATGAACTGATAGATACTCTGCAGTAGAGACTTAATAGAGGAAGCCAAGGAGTCAAGATATTTTTAAAGAATAGATAACGAAAGTTTGGAAAATCTTTTCAGGTTTAAATGCGTATAACTAAAATTCAGTTTAAAATAAAATGTTCCTGCCCCTTATCCTTCAAGTTTGGTATATGGAAACTATATATTGTACTATTTACTATTAAATTTTGAAAAGTAGAAAACTTAACTCAAACCTCCACCTGTCATCCATTCTATATGCCCCAAGCACTGCTCAGGGCTACAGCTACAGGGTATATACAAGTAAAAAATTGAGTATTTCATGCGAATAAGGTGAGAATGTCAGAGGGTCTGTCGCAGAAACCGGTAAGCGCCAATATGGAAGAGTGCGCGCAGTTATCAGCGACTGAAGCAACTGCCTTGGCTGCCAAACAAACTCATTTTAGCGAATCTTTAAAGTGTGTAGACTCGAGTTTTCAGTTTCAGTTTCTAGTTTTTGGTTTGACAAGTTGACAGCTGAGGGGTGGAGGAGTGGAGACAGAGCTGCGCGTCTCTGTCTGTGACTCGGTTTATGCGACAGTTCAACTTCAGCATTTACATACTTCGCGTTGCCTGCAGTCAGGAAGAATTCGATTGGCGAGTAGTCGGTTCCCCAGGCACTGTGAAGGCAATCCACTTTTGTCCATTTGGCGACTGGTTTCTTAAACACATTTTCATTTATCTTTTTTTCCTTTCTGTCTGAGTGCATTGCAACAACTGCGGGGTTTTTTGCGCGTACATTTTGAAATTAATGTAATATACTTTGTTTGGCTTTTCGAAACGGCAACCGCGACGCGACTCGATGCGACGCCTGCCACACCGGTCAGTCGCATAGACCCATCCAAGTTGAAGTTGATTTGTGCGCTTTAAATAATTGCTGCATTTATCAACGGCAAGCAAGAGGCGAACAGTCGTGGCTGCAGATGCAGCCAAAGTCGAAGGAGGAGCTACACATCGTAAGGTTAAGCAGATTTCGTTAAGCGATTGTCAAGTGTATTGAAGATGCAGTCGAGTTGTTGCGGCTCGCTCAGCCCACTTTAATTTGTCCAACTTGGCTGAGAGACAGTGGTGTGGCCACAAGGGGGCGGCCACTGACTCGTCGTTTCGCTGGGAAGGTTGCTGTCAAGGTCATGACTAGAGTTTAAGCTGCGCTACCTATAAATAGTCCAGCTGAAAGAGATTGACGGAAAGAGAATGCACAGCGAATCAATTATTCATGGCTACGTTCATTTATAAACTGATTTGCAAGTCTGCAAAAGAAATCTCAGTGCTACAGCTAAGGCTTGGTACAAACTTATGCTAAGGGCTGCATTGTAAGCCTGGCTTACAATATGATCAGACTTGGATCTGACATTAGAGACTCAGATGAGAGATTTCACTCAGAATTTGATCTTAAATTTCGATCTTAAATTTCGATCTTAGATTTCGATCTAAGATTATTAAATTAGATCTTAAACCCCGTGTTTTATTAAAAATTTTAATCTTAGATTTTGATCGCAAGTTCTGAATCTAATTTTAATCTTATTTTAACTTTTGAACAGCCTAATGCATTGACTTTAAATCAAATTTATATATTATATTACTGTCTTAGAGCTTGATTGAATTTTAACTCAGTTTTGATTCCGATTTCGAACTCAGATGTTCATATCAGATTTTGAGCTAAGATTGAACTCCGATGAAGTCAGATTTTAAAAAATTTTATCTTTGATTATGCTAACACTTTGCTCTTATATGATTAGTTTAGGCTTTGATTCAGTTTTAACTCAGATTTGGATATCTCAACACCTTTAAACTCGTGTTTATCTCAATTATACTCTCTGATACTCTCTTCCCTGGCTCCCACTCGCTATCATCTCTTGCTGCTCCATTTAACACTCATATTAATCAATATATCTTTACGACATTTCGAGCTGATATAATATTTGTCCAAGCCATGCCCAGTACTCCAGTTGGAGTCAACCTTTTCGCAATCCAATTTGTTTATGGCGCTGTCGATGATCGAATCATTTATCTTCATCAATTTCCGCTGCCCACCCCGATACAAATTAATTTGCAAACAAATTACAAATGCGCCGAATATATTTGATTTTTCTAAAATCTTTTTCTTTTACAGGGCGCGCAAATAAAAGCAGAGCCACAAGCAACAACAATGGAAACTGAAAAATAAAAATAAAAGCGAAATAAATTTTACAAAGCTGGTGCACAAATTAACATAATTAAGCGGCGCGCATAATGATCAAATGACAACGTGAGAGATACCAACAACAACATCAGCAGCAGCAGCAACAACAAAAAAACTGAAAGCGGCAGCAACAATTATTACGAGTGTAAAAGGCCAAAATAGCGAAATACGAAAACACGAAAAATCGAAGCGACGGGATCATCAACACTATAAAATTCAAATGAGGCGACAACAACAACCAACACAGCAACAACAACGAAGACTTAGGCATCTGTCAGACACGAAAGCGAAATGTGCATCTTGAACGCCACACTAATGCGCTGCTCCACACAATCAATACACAGCAACAACAACGGTAACACCAACAACAGCAACGACAACAAGACAGCAGCTACCTCAGCGGCAACAACAACAGCTACAACAATTGCATAAGCCACAAAGCGATTCCAAAGCGACGCCTCAAGCGACCTGATTTCAGCAAATCGCAATCTTTGCCCAGCTTGGTAGACCCTACGCGTAAGCACTCAGCCGGCAAGCTGCGAGAGTTGGCTGTCTGTGTTGGCTCTTGTGTTCAGTCTCTCTTTTTTATTTTGCCACATTACGCATACGCAACGTTAGCCGGCATTAGCAATGGATGCACTGGAGCTGCTGCAACAGCTCGGCCTGAACATAGTTTGGATCTTTAAAATCTATGTAAAATTCGCTTTAATTACGCTCGTCATCTACTTTGTCGCCGAGTGGTATATAGTGCGCTATGGCGTCGAACTGGAGGATCAGCTGGACGCTCAGCTGGCGGCCAACGAGCGGCCGGCCTCGAACAGTACGTTGAGCAAAGTGTTTCGCTTCATAGTGAACTTCTTTATCATCTAAAGAACTAGGTATATAGCACCTCATATATGTGTATGTGGAACTGAATCAAAAGCAAGGTCAAAACTCAGCTCGAATTCGATATCGAACTCGAACTCGTATCTGACTCGATTGCGGAATTGCAATTCGTTGCGCGCGCTTTGCCTTTGTTTTTGTTTCTTTTTCGCCAAGGCCTGCGAGAGAATGTAAAACCCGATTTGTTGTCACAACAAAAAACAGCAGCAAATCTGACAAACTACATGTAAAAGCAACAAATACATTCTTTTTCATGCAATTACGTAGTAACAATAAACAAACAAACAAACGGGTTGAACGACTTTTTCGCTTGCAAGAAATAACAATAAAAATCATTTTGAATGCATTTTGTTCTTACAAAAGAGACACAAATATTTTGCTTTTAACTTTTTGTGGGTGCGGTTTCTTGTGGTTTCTTGAAAATTGATTTTTCAGCACAAACGTAACGGTTAATATGCTCAGAAATAATCGAAAATTCAATTGATTAACCCGTGCAGTCAGTCAGGCTTAAAATTCCAATTATTTCTTAATGCAAATTTATCTTTAATGTATTAAATATATATGTCTATATATGTGCATGGCATTTAGCTGCAGATTTAATAAATTAATTTTGATTTCTTAACAGCTGAGCCAAAATTGTGTTGGCTGATTAACACCAGCGGCCGACGACAATTGCCCAACGGAAATTTGACTTGCAAAAATGTTTGCCCAAAAAAGCTTAAAAATAAAATAAATAAGCTACAAAAATATTGAAAAAAAATATTAAAAAAATTGAAAAATGTTGACTAAGTTTTCGACAGTCAGCAAAAACTTAAAAAATTACATATTGAACTGCTCGACTGCTAGATACACTGTAAAAGAATATAACGCTCTGCATACTAGGAAAACTTTTATTTAACCATTCTGAAAAGCGTAAAAATTAATTTTCAATAACAAGTAATAAAAGCTACACCATTAAAAGATATGCTATAAAATGAGTCAACTTTTGGTTATACGAAAAAAAATGTATATGGTTATTAAATGATTTTTTTTTAACTTTTAAGGTAAAATATATAAAACAGTTTGACTTTATTAAACATTTAACAGCTGCGATTAATATTAAACTGAAACAGTTAAGTTTGCTATTAAAAAAATGATTATCCTATCAATTTTTCGCGTGCCAAGAAATGTAACAAATTTTTTTATCAGATCAAAAATGTGAAACAAAAAAAACAGCTGGGCGATTGGCAGCTGGAGGCAACTGGCGAGCAACCAGATTGAGAGCTGTTTAACAGTTACAACATGTACTAAAAACTGCAACAAGACTTGGATAGTATGCCACATACCGGTTCGGCTAGGCGACCCACACACACACACACACACAGAGTCGACATATTGCACTCATTCTCAAAAGCGAGCACACATACATGGAGCATAGGAAACAATTGCATGAATATGAGTAGGTGCTATTAATACAACATAAATTTAAGGCACAAGCCGTGTGTCTGCGTGTGTGTGTGTGTGTGTGCCTGTTGCTCCAATTTGAATAGAGGCAACGACAGTCGACATCAAATTCAACTTTCACATGCGCAGATGCAGTGCAACACACTCCAAGTACTTTAGCTCTGTGACGTAAGAAACACACACACACACAGAGGCAGTTAAATAAACTGCAGACACAGCCTCAAGTCGTTTGGCAGTTTAAAAAGATATATGTATATATATGCCATAATCCGCAGTTAGCGCAACAACAACAACAGCAACAAAAGCCGATGGGGAGCAGTTGTGACCGTTGATTGATTTCATTATGAGCCGCTTGAAATACTTCACATTATTTTGCATTCAGTCGATTTTAGATTTAGTCATTTAATATACGCGTATGCCTCTTTGTGCCTATGTGTGTGTGTGTGTGCCTAACTAAAATTTAATTGTGCTCCGCACCATGCGGCGTATGCGCAATAATTCATGAGCCGTTTAAGCAATTTATGTGTCTTTGGACAGCGTCCACGACTTATTGTGTTACGGTTGTTTTCTCTGTGTGTGTGTCAGTGTGTGTGTGTGCATGCTTGTGACTAATAGCAGATGGTTTTGGCCTACGTTGGTTCATTAATTGAAATACCTGACTCTGCTGTTGTTGTTGCCATCGTTGTTGCTGTAGCTGCTGCAGCAATTTGTTGTGTTATTGTTATTATGTCATTGCGATCACTCAGCAAATCAAACGGAAAGTATTCAAAATAAATTAACGACCACATGAATATCAATTGTGAATCGTTAATAGATCAGTCACAATTAAGTGTACGTATATTAAGTGCAATGCGGAAAAAGAGTATTTGACGTGTAAAAAAGGGTATTTAAATGTAGAAAATGTATAAAATATAATATATTTAACATGATTCTAAGATTCTTTAAATATCAATTATAAGCAATAAAAACCCACTCATAACTTAAGTCATTATTTATAAATAAAATAAAAACACATAACCATTTTTTTCCAGCTTAGTTTTACTCAATAAATTTTGCAAGAAATTCAATAAATAAATTAAATAAAAAATATATACTAAAAATCTTAATCAACAAAACCTGTTAAGCTGCTTATAAGATAGAAACAAGCGACTAAATAGCAAATGCTGGAAATGCAAAAGGAAAAGCAAAAGCAAAAACAAAAGCAAAAGCAAAATCACACAAAACAAACTACAAACGATTACAGAATGTGAAGGAAAAACTGTAACAAAAACTGCTACACAAAGAAAAGCTTTGGCTTAAGCTTAAGCTCGCGCTCGCGCTCTCTCCCACAGCTGCTGCGCACGCTCTATGCTCTCGCGCTCATTTCTGCGCGCTCTCAGCTGCTTCTGTTTGACTGAGCGCATGCGCATGTTGTCGTTGCTGTTGCCGTTGCCGTTGCTGTTGTCGTTGCTGTTGTCGTTGCCTTTGCCGCTGCGGCGAAGCGGCAAGAAACCAGTTTCCAAGACATGCGACTGGAAACCAAATTAGCGAGCTGAAAAGCTTCGTTTCGTTACCAAAAAGACGATTTTATGCCAACGCGAAGTTGGCCAACAATCTGCAATTTCAGTCTGCAAACGGTCAGCCAGGTGAACGGCAGCCAAGACAGGTTGGCAACAGTAAGTGGGCGTGGCTAAGCAATAGTAACAACAGCAAACGCTGCGCATGCGCTGCGTTCGTACAAGTGTATATATATATACTCTCTGTCTGTGTGTATGCGTGTGTGTGTGCGTGCGTATTTAGCATTGTGTTGTAAAAATTATATAAAATTTATATGGCCAAGCAAAAGTTTTGCATGCAAAATTGTTATTGCTTGATGATAATATTAATTTTCCTATTGAAAAAAAAAGTCGCAAATTTCAACAAACGCAAAAGTGTTAAATGCAGCTGTATTGGTGTGAAAAACTAATGCGCAAGTGTCGTAATACCCTCAGCCGAGTTTTCAATCAAAAAGCTGTAAAAACTAAGGATGAAAATTTAAAAAAAAAAATAGTTAATGCAACTAAACAAACGCGTGTGTTAAAAGTATAAAAACAACAATAAAAATTTTCACAAGTGCACGCACACTATGCAACAAAACTGCAATACACACACACATACACACATATGCAGGCATATGTTAGTCTCTCCCTCTCTCTCTCTCTCTCTCTCTCTCTCTTACTTATGTGCGTGTGTGCTTGCAGTTTATAGTATAAAATTTTACTTTTTTTGCTGCATTTTTAGCAACGTTTAGCAAAAAATATATTTAAAAATTAATTGAAAAACAAAACAAGTTTTGGATTATTTGAACATAAAAAATTTTGCTTTTAAGGTAAGCCATGTCTCATATATGAAATATTATGCAGCATCTTTTTTAGCCTGCTCAAAACTCAGGGCCGAGACTCTTGGCAAAACTTTGCAAAATTATCTCAAGCGTTGCTAATTATTTGCCATGTACAAGTTGTGTTGCACTTGTTGTTGTTGTTGTTGTTGTTGGCACAAAACACAAGCAACATACTGTTGTTACTCTGGCATTACTTGCTGAAAATACTCAAAAATTGCCACAATTTGTTTATACACAATTTGTAGCTTTTGTATCTTGCGCATCTCTTTGCCAAAGAGCCCAAACAAAACTGCGCCGATTTTACTTTCATCAACAGCCACAGTCAACACAACAACAACAACAGCAGCAACAGTTACAGCAAACAAATTTTCAAATTTTACTTTCATTCATCTGCGACCGAGCGTGTGTGCACATTATTTTTATTTTTTTATTTTTATTTTTATTTTTATTTCTGTTTCTGTACATATATTTATTTGTTTTTTTTTTTTTTGTTTTTTATTTTTTTTCAAGTACTTAAGTGTTAATTTTTTCATTACGTCGAGTTTCCCGAACACTTAAATTTTTGTTAATTACTGGGAAACGCCTAAAATGTCTTTTTGATGCGTGTGAAATGAAGATTTCTCATTGAGCTGATGCTGCTCTCTTTTATTTTATTTTATTTTATCTATTTACTTTTTGCATATGCGCACACGACTTCACTCAAATAAATCGCAACCGGAATCAGCGATTAGCTTATTTGGCCGTAACAAAAACAAAAAGTAAAAACGCAACAATTGACAAGCACACAAATTGAAACTGAAAACTGATTTTCCAAAAAGAAAACCTCGTTTTCACTTGCCAAACGCGAGCAAACGCATCCAAAAGCTGTGAAGATGAGAGCTAAATGAAAATCATGTTAATATGGAGATATGTATATATATATATATATATATATATATATATATATATATATATATATATATATGAATATATAAACATGGATAGATATAGAAATATATAGAAATAGCAATGAGTCAAAACGAAATATATATTAAATTAAAAAATACTTTATATATAAACACATATGTGTATTTGAAATATATAGTTTACTGAAACTAAGTCGTTAGCAGTATAATATATATATAATATATATATATATGTCTGCATATACAGTTATAGCTCTAAATTCATATATTATATATTTAAAGGCATCTATGTATATCATTTACATAATATATTAATGATTTTCTGATTATATATTAAAGATGTATTTTCATGGAAATATTTCATAATTCATAATTTAAGAAGGGAGTAGGCCTGTTTATAATAGAGTTAAAGTATTGTTAGGTTTTTTTTTTAAATCGATTAAAGATGCTGTTTATCTTTTATATTTTTATATGCTTAATAAATTTAATTATATCATAAAAATATTTTTGAGGAAGAATATTCTGATTAGAACTCTTATAAATGAGCTTTAGTCACGCCATGAGTTTTTAAGGTCAGAATTCTAAAATCTTCAAGGTCGTATATTATATATGCTCTATTCAAGACAATTATTAAATAGGCATAGTGTATAACATATGATCTATTGCTAATAAAAGCGCAAGATTTATGGCTTAACATTGTTGAACTTGATCTAACGTAATATGCATAATATCTCTTGGTAATAAAAATATGTCTTCAGTCAAGTTTAAAGTGCCATTTTTTATTTATAATTAATCATAGTTAAACATTTATAATTTGAGATCTTTGCTACATCTAAGAGCTAAGAGCTACATCAAATAATTTGTGTTAGCTGTGCTTGAGCTACGCCCATACACAATCCAAGACCAGGTGAACGATAGCTCAATAGTATATAATTGGCTAAAACTAATCCTCGCAATCTGCCAAAAATCAATTCGCGCTGACAAATGGCTCTGCAAAGGGCAATTAGCTAAGCCCACATCTGTATTATATAATAGCATGCTAAACAGATCGAAAAACAAAATAGAAACAAAAAACTGCACCACAAAAATCAACATAAGCCTGAAAGCCACAACAGCTGAGGCGACCTTGAAAGCGCACCACAAAAAGTATCTAAAGAAATCAAATGAAAAGTCCAAAAACCGAACGGAGATGCTAATTTTTGGATGACAACGCAGCAGTTCGAGTCGAGTCTGTGGAACCGGCATCTATTGAAGATCAGCAACGGTCCTCAAAGAGGCAGAGCCAACCGGTTGATGCGACTCGAAGCATAAATTAAGAAATAAATAAAAAATAAATAAATAAAATATCGTCAAGTCAAAATAAAAAGGAAAAACTGTGAAGCGAAACCAGTTGCTGACGTCGTTGCGACGACACATTTCTCAGAAATTTTTGACTGCTCGCATTAGAAATGTAAATGAAATCGAGAGCTCAAATATAGAGTATAGAGCAAACGTATCTTGAAACTGGTTAACAGATGTTGGCTCTAGACGAAAGTCTAAACACTGCGACCTTTTGCAATGCATAAATTTAGTATTCTGATTGTGCATTGTCTCTCACTGTGACTGCGACTCTCACTGCGACTGACCTTAAGCCACCTCCGCCTGAACACATCTCTAGGCTCATTGTCTCTGTCTGGCTAATATTTTAATTAGTTAACGTCATTTGCCAAAATCGACTTGAATAAAAAACATAGAAAAAACCCACACACGCACAATCAGCGATTTTATTGCTAAATTATGTGAAAAACTTAACAAATTTGAGTTTTGCGATTTTTTTCTACCAATTTGCACAATTTCAAGGCACTTGCGCTCATAAAATGACCGTAAAGAAACCCATCAAATTAGCTAATTCACAGAAAAACAAAAATATAAATAATAAATAATTAAATTAAATTAAGTTCTTATTCAAAAACTTCCTGCGACACATACATTTGTTGCTTAATATTTCCGTTTTTTAAATGAATTATGTAGTAAAACTTATGCTGTGACTAGAACTGAAACTGTGACTGCTAAAACTCTGATTGCGATAGGAACTGCTACTGAGCCGGCGAGTGAAGCTGTGACTTCTTATGACTAATGATAGAATGACTAGATATGAAATGTGCCCTCGTTATTCAGTTAATATATATAATAACTATAGCTATTACTGTGACTATGACTGTGACTGTGACAGCTACTGCGATTTGCTTGCCCATCATTAATAAATTGCTAAAGACAAACGAATAACAATGACAATAACAGCTCCAGCAGCAGCAGAAGCAACAACAGTTTTTACCGGTATTCGTGTGCTTGTAAACGATCGTGCTTAGCCTTGAATTTGAACTTGGCTAAAAGGCAATTCAACGGCATGGAATCTTCGAGGCATATCGATACATGTCAGCGACATCCAAACAGACAAACAGACAGACGGACAGTAAGTCAGCTCAGCTTAATGGTGGGCCGTAAAAAATTCGATGTTCATATCATTATATTGTCATTTGCGACAAACAAAAGCCAAATATTAATATATTAATTGGTTGTTTATGGCAATGCAAAGTGCAGCCAAATTAAGGGAATCAGCATACTCAAAGCTGAGCCATAAACTTAACTTTTTAGTATGCCCATATAGCTATCAAAAGAAACCAAACACGCTTGGCCTTAGATATTTGAAATATGATAGCCGATGGAGTCCTCATTCAGACATGTCTATGGAACAGATTTATGTCAGTTGGCATAGGGTAGATTGGCGGGGAAAGGAAGCTCCAGCTGAAATGTCAGCTCTTTCTTGATTATCTGTTATGTCTGCTCATATATTTGCATTATAATATTTTATTGTCTACAAGCTTGATTCTGCTTGACAGCTGCGTAGTTGAACCCTTTGGCATTTGAATACTCTAACGCGCCTGCATTTGAGGTTGCATGAATGGAGCCAGTTGACTGCAGTCTATTATCATCTTCTGTCACATATTTATCTAAAGTTCGGCTCAAAATGTCAGAAACTGCAAACGCACAGCTGGAGGCGAGCGACATCATCGTAAACATTAAACACAACAACAGCAAACATCAAGAAAAAATATCTACTTAAAATGCGCGACACACATTAATTTTGTGGAGCGGGGTGTGAACGGCAAAATCTTTGAACTCCGTCGTATTCGTAAAGCCCACAGACGACAGACGACAGAGGACCGACGCCAGACGCCTGCGACATACAAAGCAAAGAAAAAATTGTGCCATGAATAAATGAAAGGCAGATGAGCAGTTGAAGCTTCAAAAATCCATTACCCAGAGCGATTCAATTTCGGGCTTCCTCTTTGCCAAAATGAAGAAAGAAAAACCAAACGAGCAGACGTTGCGCTGTCTGACATTTCGAAATGCGCATACGCCCCGTTAGGCGAATGGCTCATCAAATTCAAGGAGAATCAATAAACAATGCATAATAAAACTATTATCCGTTATCTGCATATATGTATGTGTATATATGTGCAGGCAATGCAGATGCAGGCTATAAACAATGCCAAACTGCCGAATTACAATGCTCCAATGAACCTTTCGATTGGTATCACTCAGCAGAGCAAAGCAATGCCTCTCTCTCTCTCTCTTTATATATATCTTTGTCTCGCTCTGGTTTTGCAATAAATCAACTGCAAGCTTGGAATTTGCAGCCAATATATATATATATATATATATATATATATACTATGTTTAAATGATATCAATATAAATAATTAAAGCATTTACTTTTTATGGCAGCTGCCGCTTTTGAAATTTTGATTTTGTATTTTGATTTTTGCTTTTGATTTTGCTTTTGCTTTTGCTATATATATATATATTTGCACAGCCAATTAAAACGCATTGAAAATGAAAGTGTTGCCGCATTGTAAGTGTAATCTATTGTTCACTTTTCAATTTGATATAGTTATGCATTACCCGACTGTCTGTCTGTCTGTCCGTCCGTCTCCCTGTCTGTCTCTGTGTTTGTTTGTGCTTTTGTTGTTGCCCTTTCGCTGCGCTTTACGTAAGTGACATTGAAGGCAGTGGCTAATTATGCAATTACTACTACTTCAACTGAATCAAAGTCTTTAAATTAACGGAAATTCAACGGAAATAAAAACTGAGCAAAAGCGTTTAAGAGCTTTTATCATAAATAAATATATTTTTATAGATCATTTTAGTTTATATAAAGCCACACAGTTTTATTTTGTTATTTATTAAACATTAATAATGTGTAACCATTTAGTTTTGTTACCAAAATAAAAACTTGTATTAACAAGTAAGAGAGCTCTTGTGGGCAATGCCAGACTAACAGATACCTAAACTGTAGATCTGCAAACTGTAGAGTAAACTATATTCAGTTTAAAATTCTTGGAACTGAAAATATTTTTATATATTTTATATAAATACTGTTTGTTGGGTTTTCTACATTGCAGTTTTATGTTAATAGAAATATTCAAGATATAGAAAATAATTGTTTCATGATTCTCATATACAATAAATACGTTTGGTAGATGTATTTCATGTGTTTCCTGATGCGATGCCTCTGTCAGAAATGCGTTTCTATTTCTATTTAGGATTTGTATTTCAATTTGAATTAAAGCTTACTTTATATGCAACAAAAAAGTTTACATTTAAATACAAATTTCAATTTTTAAAAGAAGCTTGTTAGTAAGTAAATCGATTAAGTTAAGTCTGGAACGTATTCAACTTGGAGCAGTTTCACTTCTTCCATTTTCATCGTTTTGCCATATAGACGAGGCATAGAAAATCAGACGATTTTTATGTCTAGAACACTTTCTATAACCATATTAAGATCCACTCGTAGGTATGCTACGTCCAACAATCGCTTGACTGATTGACTGAATGAATGACTGCTGACCAGCTGCAAAAGTAACGTTAATCAAGCAACATGTGCGTGTATATTGCAGTTAGGTATAGCACCGAAAAAAATGAGAAATACTTGAGAATTGCGTGCCGAAAATGTTAAGTGAGGAACCCAACGGAATCCAGAGACATTTCTTTTCTTTGCAACGTTCAGTGACTCTTTAAAAGCATAAATCTTTGGCTGAGTGCATGAGTGTGTATCTGTGTGTGGGCGTGTTAATTGGCAAATTCTTGCATTTGTTACAACATTTTGTGTCTTTCCTTTGCTTACTTTTTTTTTAATTTACATAATAATGTTATTATTATTTTTGTTTCTTTGTCTTATTTCTGTTCAAAGCACACCAAAGCGGAAAATATAAATACAACAGCAACTGAAGAGTCGTCATAATGAAAAGAGCCAAACGCTGGCTGTTCATGACAGCGACAGGTGAGTCAAGGAAAGGTTATTCAGGCGTGGCAATAACTGAATCCCGAACTGGATTATGGAACAGCCACAGTTGCTGCTATGATATAATTCAGGCACAAAAACTGCTTCGCTTATGCAATTAAACAAAAACCAGCTGCAGTTTTTACATATTTCTTTTCTTTTTTTTTTTTGGTGTATCTTCAGTGCTGTTATTGGGTCTGCTTAGCTCTGCGGATGCTGCGCTGCCCTTCAAAAAGGTGTCCATTGCCAAAACTCCCGCCTCTACAACCAGCACAAGCACAACGACCACCGAAGCCCCGGAGCCTGCTACAGAAAAGGAAGAACTGCCCACTGCAGAGGGAGACGAGAGCAAGGTGAGCATTTTAGAGCACACTTCGTCTTCAGATTGACGGTAGAACTTCTCTCATTTGCAGTCAGACAATGGCACGGTCTCAAAGAGCTCCAAACTGACGGGCATACCGCAAATAGACTATGTCTGGGACCCTAACTTGCCGAGGGAGCTGAGAGGGTAAGTTATTAAGCGATATAAATAAACAGATAAGAAACTTCAATTGACAACTTCTGTTCTACTTAATTCTGCTTCGTTTGCAGCTACAATCTCTCGACGTATCCTTTCTTGTCTACTGTTCCACCCATGGATGAGATACATTTTAAGTGCGAGGGTCTACACGATGGTTTCTATGCCTCCATTGAGTACAAATGTCAGGTGAATGAACTCGTGATAAATTACGCATAATAGTAGTTGTTCCTATAGAAATAATACTCTTATGCCATTCACTTTTCTATGTACTAAATCGAATCTTCAAGCGATGCATGTTCATATAGTGAACAAAAGTGAGAAACTCTGTTATGGGTCAAATTCCTTTTGTCTTTTTCTTGTTCTTTGTTGCTTAACTTTTTCTACATTCCTCAGTTTCCCTGTGCGTCCCTTTGGACTTCTGTTTCACTCACTGTATTATTCTCATTTCTATATCTTCGTTTGTTCTTCAATATATGTCCTATCTCCTCCCCTCAGTCTATCCTTCTAACCAATATTCTCTCCTCATAAACTTCTGTTTCACTAAGATAATAAGCTAACTATCTCACTCTGAAGTGCTCCCCAGGTGAAGGTTCACGGGAGCCAGCGAATTTACATGTTTCGCTGACTTTGTTGCGTGTTGGTTGACCTTGTGCTCAGCAGCGCAACGGGGAATGTAGGAGGCGACGTTATCCAATTGGTCAAGTTGAACAGCGAGCTACCACGTAACGCGTGTCCAGTAATTTCTCTTTTAGCCGCCGTCTTGTGGCTTACGTGCCCAAAGGCGAAGCCAAGAAAGAAAAACATTAAAGAAATAATAAAAAAAACTTGTCTGCGTGTCGATCTTGACCTCAAAATGAATTTTTGTTTGCCTGGCAAAGAGACGTTAAACAGACTTTATTCACACCTCCAGTGGGAGTACCCGACTTAGCTGTAAGCCAATTCCACTAACAGCTCTTTCAACTTTTTGCAGATCTATCATCATTGTGTCTATGGCATACGGCACGATTTCCTCTGCGCCAATTTCACGGCCTTCGATCAGCGCACCTTCATTTGTCACTTTGCCTCCGACGTGGACTGCGAGGGCTCCCAAAAGTATTGGAACAGGTGAGTGCGAAACATAGTTGACCTGCTTAGCACAGCGTAACTAACTGGAGCTGTTGCACCACCACACAGAAATGATGAGCTCTATATGGCCACCACCACGTCTTCGACGAGTACGACGACAACGGAACCACCACCACCGCCGCCACCGCCCAGACGTCGAGGCCAACGTCCCTATCATCGGCCCTACAATCGCCGTCCCGTGGATGATTACTATTATGACGAGGCCGACGATGAGTACTATGAGGAGCGCTATAGTCGTCGCAATCCCCGACCACGTCCACGCAAGCCACAGCTGGATTACGATGATGAGTACGACGACAAGAAGCCTCTGCGACACAATCGCAATCGCTACAGGGATGAAGAAGACCTAACAGACGAGGATTACGATGATCGTCGAAATAGACCTGGCGGACGTCGCGCCAAGCCTCAAGCGGGCGCAGGTGGGCGTGGTAAGGCAGTGCCACGCAAGCCAGGACGCGTCGAGGAGCGTCGCAGCTTCAATGAGGATCGCGACGTAGAGGAACCACGACGTGCGTCTGGCAGACGCCGCAGCAGCGAGAAGCGCACCACACCCTCAACCGCAGCTGTATTAGATGAGCTTGATGAGTACGAAAAGCCCTATGAACTGGATCAGGAGGAGGCAGCCGAAGAGCAAACTCCACAGAAAGTAAAAACTACACCCAAACCATTGTCTGAATTCGTCACGCCCAAAGCAGCGGCCGCCTCTGTCTACGCACGTCCACGTGCACCACCCCGCATAGCCCGTCCCGTACCCGTCAACGAGAAGAAGAAGTACTCCTATCCTGTGCAGAAGAACACGGCGACCACTCCAGCTTCAGGTGCTAACGAGCAGGACGATGATGATTACTACCAAGATCGCGAGCAGCACGAGGATGACTATGAACAGCCCACACAGCCAGCACGTGGTGCATCCCGCCGACGCACTGCAGCGCCAAAAGAACACAAGCCTACGCGCTCCACACTGCGCAAACCTGTTACAGACAAGAAGGTACTGCTGGATGAGGAAGAGGATTACGAAGTGGAGCAACGGGAGACGCCACGACGAAAGCGCCCGCAGGCCAACAGAGCGCGGGCCCCAGCTGTCGATGTGGACTTCGTGGATGACGTGGATTACGAGGAGCGACCAGCACCTGTACGAGGTCAACGCGTGCGTCCCAAGGCAGCTGCACCACGTAAGCCCGTCGCCCGTCCACGGCAGCCCATTGTCCAAGAAGATGAAGAGGAGCAGCCGGAGCCCGTTAGTGAAGAGCAACCAGAACAGCCACGTATTCCTCCAGCGCGCACGAAGTCTAACTCGTTGGCAAGTCTAACTCCGGCGCGACGCAATCAAAAACTGGCACTGGCCACTCGACAACGTGCACTGCCCACTTCCAAGACAACAGCAGCACCTGCCCTGGAAGAGGAGCCAGCCGATGAGGAACCATTGCAGGCGGCCCATGATGAACCTGACGAGCCGCTGGCGCCCGCAGCACCAGCAAAACAACTGCGACCCGCTTCGGTACGTGTGGTCAAGCGACCCTTCCTGCCGTCGCGTGGCGGCAGCCCCTATTTGCCGCGTGGCTTGCAGCCGGTGGGTGTGGCAGTGCGGACTGCCCAGCTAACCAGCGAAGCGCGCACCACAGACAGCACGCCCATTGACATGGGTTCCACCATATCGGGCGTGCGCCTGCTGGAGCATGGAGCTCCACTGCTGCGCGGCGAAGATCCGGACAGCGATAGTGATGAGCTGCCGGCGCCGTCGCCCAACCCACCGCGCACCACATTGCCGCCACGCAGTGCATTGCCCACACCGGTAACGCCGCGTCGACCAGAGCCACCACAGCCGGTTAAGCTCAATCTGGACGAACTCTATGAGAACGACTACGATGTGACGCTGAACGATGCGCTCGATCCCACGCTTAAACCGCTTACGCCACTGCATCCACATCAACAGCATCAACATGCCAACTATCAGAGCCGGCCCTATACCAGTGCGTATTCTGCACCTGCACCTGCACCTGCACCTGGTAGCGGGTCGTATAATCCATTTGCCAGTCATGGCAATAGCAACAGCAACTATCAGCAGACATCCATCTATCAGAATCATTCGCCGTCATCATCCATTGCATCCGCTTCGCAGTCCCAGCCACCGTCACCGTCACAGTCACAATCCCAATCGCCAGCGAACTATCATAGTGATTCCTATTTTTCATCGACAGATATACGCCGGCGAGCGATTGTCCCGGCGCAGATCGCGCGTTCACATAGACACGAATACGCTGCCCGAGGAGCAGTGAACAGTGGCACCCAAACGGGCACACGACTTGCCCAGCATTACTACGATGAGTTTGCATATTAGAGTCGCGGTTACAAGTCTGTGAAAAATCAAGGTATATATATGGCAGACTTATATGCTTATACAATTCAATATATGTATTTATATACTTTCAGTTTCTTCAGCTGTATATAACTTTCAACAACTAGAAGGCGTATCAGTTGCCTAGGCAACTGCTTTTCTACACTATCTTCTTTTATATACTTTAGTCTTATAGCCGCAAGCTAATTATAATATATTTTCTCTCTAGTTAAAGTTCAAGCAGGCAACATTTTATCAACACAATTTGCGCTTAACTTTTAACAAAAAAATACAAAAACAAAAACACTAAAATTAATAATATTTACATTGTATAATACTCAATTGTCGTGATAGTAGCCGAGACAAAAAGTAATCTTCAAGTTTTGTCTGCTAATTTTTATGTAGTACACAAACAACAACAATCAACAATATGAACAACAAACAACAACAACAACAACAATCAACAGCCGCTGCGCTTAGCTAAATACTCGGACAACAAGAAAATGAAAACAAATTAATTTAAATTTAGTATGCAAGACAACATTTTGTGTGCGCGTTAATATTTAAGCTGTATTCTAGGCTCAAGTCGAGTGCTTAAACAAAATTAAAATATGATACAAAACAACTAAAGAAATTGATTTTCGAAATCTTATTTACATTGAACTTGTTTACGTTTCGCTGGTGCAGAGGCAGCTCTTTAGAGCTTCCGTTGCCTCCTCCAAATGATCCAGCTTCTTCATTAGAATTATCTAGATAATAGAGAAGATATATAAATGTAAATACAGTATATAAGCTTAGATTTCATCGAACTAACCTTGGCAGCTGATATAATTTCGTTGGCCACCTTTATAGGCATAAATTCCACAGCTTTTACTAATTCGAATGGTCGAATCTTGGCTACATCCTCTATAGTTCTCAAGCCTGCGGCATAAAGCTGCTTGGCGCGATTCTAAATAATACAACAATATTGTAAATAATACTATGTTAAAATAGATGCATGCACTCACAATCTTAACAGCAGGCAGCTCAAGCAACGGCTCCAGTTCCAGCGTGCCACAGCGATCCATTTTATGATTGATGCGCTCGAACAGAGGCTTATAGCACCAGAACTCATCAATTTGCTCGCACAAGCGAACGATGGCACTGGCAGCTGCAGAGCTCTGGCTGATCAGTTGTTGCAGCGTGCCACGCTCTACATTGTACTTGCTGGCGATGCTGGGTAAAGGGTGTAGGCCGAGCACATCAGATAGAATGAGCACTTTGTATAGTCGATTCAATTGGAGAGCTAATGGACCCTGCACCGACTGCGTCTTGGCTAACTTGGCGGCATGCGCTTCCGTAAAACCCAGCTGCTTGAACAGCGCCTGGGTCTGGGCCGAGAGTGAGGTGTACTCGCGAAAGAGTATGGTCGCATCAGCAGGTATCAGCTCATCCCCACGCTCATTTGAATTAAAGCAAACAACCAAATACAACAGATGCACATAGCTGGTTAGGATGAGCTGCTGTTGCGCCAGCTGCAGTTCTTTGTGTATAACAAAGGTGCGTTTGTAGTCTATACCCGCCTTGAAGGCGGCGCGTCCAATGCTGGTAAGCTGAAAGCGCGTAGATTGGCTAATAAGCAGACGGCGATCGGGTGCCGAACGACCGCTCAGATTAATATCTTGTGTAGTCATAATATCCGAGCTGTTGGGCTTGCTCTTGGGCGTCTTCTCTCTTAGTTGCAGCACCTTGTTTTTAAACATATCTCGCAGAATGCGCAGCACCAACTCATCCACAGCTATTTCCAAGGCAGCGGCCTGTACGGCTAGCAAAGTACTGTTCACTAGGCGATTGAGGTCACGTCTACAATCAGCAAGATTCAACCCAATAACGCTTAGTATTAAAGACTGGAAATCAGTGAAAACTCAGTAAAGAATTGGAATTACGGATTGCACAGACTTACCTGCAAGCCAACAGCTTCGAACTGATCCAGGGAGCTTAGCGCTTTGTCCATGGGCGAGAAGAGCATTTGTCCCACCAGTGCATTATCCTTGCTCTGAGTGATGAGAATACTTTCGCCGGCCTCGCCAAGACCAGCACGACCAGCCCGTCCTACCATTTGCTTATACTTGCACAACGTCAAAAATTCTTGACCCACATAGGGCGCACGTATAATAACACGCTTGGCGGGCAGATTGACGCCTGCAGCCAGCGTGGAAGTGCAGCAAATGACTGTGATAACCCCGAAACGATAGGCAGTTTCTATATATTTGCGCTCGTCCGTAGTAAGGCCAGAATGATGATAGGCAATGCCATAAGGCAATGTTTTGGCCAATACGGGACTGAGAACGCCACACATCTTATCGAGAGCGTTCATGAGATCAGCTTTTTCGCTCTGCCGATGCTCAAAGAACTTTTGTTTAGGTACAATACGACTTAGTAGCAGCGCAACATTCTCGCAGTTCTTACGTGTGGGACAAAAGACCAGGCAGCAATGCTCCGGTGCACATTCGGTTATCAAACCCGCCAGATGATCCGGATCGGCACGCTCCACAGCTGCGCTGTACTATAAAAGGGGTAAAACTATCAAAAATATAGACAAGTAAGGAGCAGCCACACTTACATTATAGCTAACACTACGCTTAGGCACAAAAATTTCCTCAAGTGTTTGTCCAGCAGAATTGATTTCAAGCAAATCATGTCCACATTTAATATACTCTTTAAGCTCCACCGGACGAAAGCCTCGCGTATACACATCCGCATTAAGAAAAGATGAGATTTCATTCAGATTGCCAATGGTAGCGCTCATGCCCACAATTTGAATATTGGCTAAAATCGTTATCAAACAATTACATACATACATAAATGTTTGTACGTAAATATACGAGTACCTTTCAAAAACATGACCTTGGTTAAGAAAGCCTCCAACGTGGCTCCACGTCCTCGTTCGCCAATCAAATGCAGTTCATCAATAACGACTAGGCCAATTTCATGTGGCCTCTGTGCATCAATCAGACTATCCATGAGCACGGCGCCTTTCTCAATAGATGCAACAAAGAGGCTGCGTCGCTTGCGTTGTGGCTGAGGCGGGCATTTGCCCTTGCCCGCCGTATACTCATCCACAATGAAATCGAGTGCAATGGCAAAAGGCGACATGGCGCTCACCTTCTCCTGTACTATGGACACATATGGCAATATGAAGAGAACATTGCGTTCTCGGCAAAGCAACTCTCGCAACATTAGAATTTCGGCAACCAAGGTCTTGCCACCGCTAGTCGGCAAAGCATAAATAAGGTTCTTACGCTTATGTATGGCAGGCAGATTCAAACACTCATCCTGCCATTCTGAAAGTATTTTTTATTAGTATTAGCTTTAGTATGCCATTAACAACTTACTTACCATATAAACTTTTGATGCCCTTGTGCTCAAATATTAATTTTTTCACCTTATCTGGTAGTCCATAAAAATCGCCCTTACTAGGAAAGCCGTTGTTGTGCGCTTCCTTGGAGGTTTCGAATTCGGCAAAAGCCTGCGTCTGCCAGTCCAATTGATCCAGAGTCGCAAGGTCTTGATGCGCCTGTATCACGGATCGATTCTGTAGAGCTTCATATGTTGCATACTGTGTGCCCTGCACAATACCATCCAAAATGGACTTGGATATAAAGGACATTGACATGGAGTCCTCTTTGGGTTGAGTAGCAGGCATTGGTGGTCTCTCTGGGGATTTGGGCACTTTAAAAGCCACTGCATCCATAAAAAGTTGTGTATTTTGTACAACGGGATCGCTATAATCATCACCGCCATTAAAAATATCCTCCATTTCAGCTACAGTCAAGTCATTGAGATTGATCTCTTTAAAATTCTGCTCTTTTGCACTGTTCTGGGAAAGTTCAGTCTTTGGCGCTGCCGGCGCCGTTTCTCCGGTGCTGGGCAATGAAATATCACCAAAGAGACTGTCATCAGACTGGCTCTGATGGAACTTATTACTGGTTTGACTAGTGAAAGGTGCAGATACCACATTGTTTTGTCCGCTAAACAATTCTTCCAACTTGGCATTTGAAAAGAAACTGGCATCATTGTCAGGCCAAAAAATACTCTCGCTCATTTCCATGTACCCGGCACCGCCTGCGGTTGGTTTATTATTCTCGACACAAATTCGTTTAGCAAGTACATTATTTTCTGCTGAACCTTTGTCTGCAAGCTGTCTTTTGGACATTGTGAACACAAAACATTCTCAAATGCAGCGCGCCAAAATACAGTAAAACCCAGCTGATTTTTCATATGATAGGGTTGCCACTCAGACTCCCAAATGCCTCAGTATTTTATTTAATCGATGGTATTTTTGTGGTATTTTTATGTTTCAAGTCTAGAGATTACCTAGATTCCTAGAGATTTTATTTGATATCGTATATGGTCACACTTACAATATTATTTTTCATATTATTGAGCGCAGAAATTTTTGGATTGCAGTCTTATTGTCTTATTTGCGATTTTATTTCGCAACTTCGTTCAATGCACTTCCGGAATGGATGCACGAGGCAGTTATTGGTACTTGGAGCATGTAAGCACCGGGAAAAAATTGATTCTGCACCCCGGGGACAATTTAATCGGCAGGCACTCGTGTTGCAAGATTGTCCTAAAAGAATATGACTTCTTGTCCCGACAGCATGCGAAATTTATTATAAATAGTGAAAACGTCGTCAGCGTGGAGCAGTTAGTAAGTCTTCTATTGCATGCTCAAGAAAAATTTTTTTATATTAATACTTTTCTCTTTATTTTTAAAAGAACGCACTAAATGGCGTCTTTATAAATGAAACCAAACTCGAAGTCAAGATCCGATCGCTTATATCTGGCGATAGAATTGGTCTTGGGGTCCAAGTTGAGTCATTGGATGCTGTGGTTCCTCCGAACTATGGCATATTTCAGTTGAAACAAATGTGTCCAAATGCTGCAGACATTGTCATCATATCAGACGATGAAGAGATTGATGAGACACCGCCCAGACCAACGGGAATTGTCATTAATAATAATGTGGATGGGCCGGAATTAGAAAAGCTTGAGGCCAGCAATGTGAAGAATGCAGCTGATAAGAGCACAAAAAGTACAAATGCATATCGCCCAATACATTTGCCTAAGTTGCCAGAAGTAAAGGAGGAGCTACTGTCTCAGGCAACGAAACAGATAGAAAACATATTCGGCGAGCCCGATGAGGAATTGCTTGAATCGGTTTTTCAAATCAATCCTTATGTCTTCAAGCAGCTAAACAACAATAACATTGTCATATCTGGCGAAAAATTACACGATGGCGATGAATTAGAGCTGCTAGACGAGGTTAAGTTGCCGAAACTAGAAAATAATGTTGAAAATCCAGACATGCCACCTCCACAATTGCCTGTTAAGTCAGACAAAATTTCGGAGGACGATCTGGTAATTGTGGATGACAACGAGGATGACTATGATGAGAATTTTGAACTGTCCCAAGCTATGCTGCGTGAAATGAAAGATGAAATGGCCGATGCCCCACAAGATCTTAGCGATGAGGAGCATTTTAGCCAACAGGAAAAAGAAGATTTTGAGCCAGCAGCTACGTGGATCAAAAAGGAAATAGCTACAAAACTTGATGACGATGAAATTATACTTATCGAGGATGAGGACGATGAACTCTACAGCAAAGTGGCTGACTGGTCATCCAAACTACTTACCCAGAATATAATGTCTCAGGTTTATCCACTTGATGAGGAAGATGAATTAAATGACGCTAATACTGTCGAGGAACAGGCTCTGCAGTTGTTTAATGATACAAATTTGGAGAGTGATACCGACAATAATATCTCAGATCTACCAATTTTGATGAAACGGAGATCCCATGCGCTTCGTATTGAAAGCAGCGAAGATGACTCTCCCGGTAAATATCGTCTTTATACACTTTTACAAAATTCTGAACCCATTTTCTTTCAGCCGATAACAATACACCACAAAAACCAAAGATACGCAAATGTAACGTGCGTCTAAAAACGATGGACTTGTCTCAATTGCAAAATTCTTGCGAGAGCAGCCCTAAAACCAAACCTTTTTCTGATCAATCTGAAAAAAGGGTTGATAATAATCTGCAGGAGTTGGAGGTAGTCTTGGTGCCATTTGCTAGTATTCCGGAGAACGAAATGGATGTAAAAACAGTAAAGAAAAAGTCCACACCACGCAAACGTAGCAAAACGGTTTCAACGCGCTCTAAGCTTAACGAGGTACCCGTTCCGGAGACCAGGACACCCAGTACGAAACGCAGCTCACGTCTACAAGACAGATCTAAATCTTGCTATGTAGAAAGCCCATTAAAATCACCAAAGGGGATGTTAGCCGCAGACCCAATGAAAACTTCACCTGCAGAAGAGCCGAAGACACCTGTAAAGTATCGTAGCCCACGTATGTCAAAAAGATCCAAATCCTGCTATGTCGAAGATGTCATGCTGTCGCCTTTAAAGCCCCAAATACCTGTAACGGTAGGGAACAAGGAAGTTAAGAATCTATGTGTTAAAACGTCTCCACCAGAACCTTCAAAACCCGGAAAAGCTGAAAAAAAAAGTAGTCCACGGTTGGCAAGCAGATCCAAATCCTGTTTAATGGAACGGCCCTTGGCCTTGCCCAAGTCACCAACTGCAGACAAACTTAATGAATTGCCAATTCCAGTCGCTCAAATACCCACAAAAAACTGCAGTCCCCGCTTGTTAAGTAGATCCAAATCCTGTTATATTGAAAGCCCCACGAGTTTGTCACGTATACCAACGGTAGACCAAAGAGAAGAACTTCCTACTAAGAAAATAGTGGCTGTAGCAGAAGTTGAATCGTCAGTTAACGCACGTTTCTTAGACAGATCCTATTCGTCAGACCAGTCCATAGACGCAACAAAGAATTTGTCTTCAAGCAATTTACAACCGCCATTAAATGTTGATAGCTCATCCGCAAAACACCTCGAAAGCAATCGTGGACCGGTGGTTATTGAGCCACCGCATTTGCCCAAAAATCGTGGCAAGCTGCGGGGCCTTTCAGCAACAAGCAAGGAAAATGAGCTCAAAAATAAAATTCTAGATAGACAACGCTCACTGGACTACCAGGCACAGATGAAAAAAAAATGGTTTCAAAAACCGAAGGACAAAAAGCGCGAGTGCCAAGAAATCAAGGAAAAACGTCGTGAGGAGTTGAAAAAATTAACTGATAAACCCAAGCCAAATGACACGGCGAAGCGCGCTGATGCACATAAACGAAAGATAACGAACATACCTACGCTGGGTAATTGCAATCGTGGTGATTTTCTAAGCAAAGAAGTACAGCCACCAACAACAAAAAAGCCCAGACTTGAGAATGCTCAGGCAAAGCCTAAAAAGCCAGCACCCCAGCGGCGGGCTACCATAGAATCTTTCTCACAGCAGCTGTGCGCCTTAGACTTAATTAAGAATCTACCTGACCAAACGAGCCGTCCGAAAGTACGCAAAGATGCGGAACGGGCGCGCAATCAAAGGACTTGCAATCGCGTTTCATTTGCCGAAATGGAACGCGAATTTGATTTGCGCCACGAGCGCGAAATGCGCGCGAAAAACAGTCGACGTGTTCGATTTAGCGACAATATTCAAATCAAAATAATCGAAAGGGTTGAAGGTGCTTATCGAAAAGTAGGTAATATCAAGGATACTAAGAAAATAACGTTAAGTACGTACGCGGAGCGTCGCGCTTGGTCGCAGGCACAAGGTAAATTGGAAAACTTCAGCGATTTGATAATGGGAAACATTCTGAGCTGGGCAAATCAATGGTTACAACTTCGCAGCGCGGATGCAGTGACAGAGTCTGAGGTTTTAATACCCATTCCAAATGAGTTCAAGAGCTATAAACAGTACAAAGAGTATGTAGAGCTTAACTTAGATCTTATTATAGAATGCTTCAATTGGAGTTTTTATTTACAAATATAGAATTTTCATACCACTGATGAAACTGGAATTGCTGACCACCATAGAACGCGACTACAAAATTTCTCATTTTACGTTTGAAGTCAACCTGAAAACCGTTTCAAATTCAAACTGCCGTAACCGACCTCGCTATGTGCTCAATACTAGATGTAATTCACTTTATTCTCTTTTACATTTGAATTTCTTAATGATTTCTCATCCTTAGACAATAGCAAGATCGATAAGAGATTTGATCTGTACACTATAAGTAGTGGCACTAAGTTGAAAGAGACGTTTGCTTCACTATCTCGCGTTCAACGCATAGCTGGTATGTAAATTAAAAAATCAGACTTTTATGTTTTTATAGTTCCCATACATTTACAGGCGACATATACGAGCTATGCTTCGAGATTTTGCAAGAGGGCATCGATTTAGGTCTGCTCAACTCTTGCAAGACATTAACTGTACGGCCCATTGTCGATAATATACGCGTGGAAATGGGCGCTTTCAATGCGATTTATTTGATGGGTCGGTCGCCGCTCTTTCAACGAATACTGCATCCCAGCGAAAATGTATTTTCGTATGACAACAAACTAATACAGCAAGCTGATTACAAAGGATACAGGAGAATGAATGATCATCAAATTGACATTTGCCAACGCACTTGGAGTCGTTTGATTGACGACTCGACGCCTGGTATAACACTAATACAGGGCCCACCGGGCACGGGCAAGTCAGTGGTTATCTCGAATCTAACTCTCCAGTGCATGTATGGTACCAGCAATGTTATGCTTGATCGCAAGATTCTCATATGTGCTCATAGCAATGCAGCCGTAGATAATATCGCAGGGTATTTGAAACGTGCTCGCTCGGCTATGAGCCATTCGCAATTTGAGCTTGTGCGCTTTGGCTTCTTTGAGAAAATTGATCCAAATGTGCGCGATGTATCGCTGGATTGCTTTCTTAACAAGAAGCTCGCTGAAAAGCGCAATCGTATGTCGGCCGAAAACATTGAGACGCTAAAGAGGCAGCAACAACTGCTGGAAAAGGAAATTGAAGAAATCAAAAAGCTTCCTGCTCAAATCAATTATATACAAAGTCAGCTGAATTCCAAGGAAAAACAATTGCGCTTGGTGATGCAGCAACTAAACCCGCGACTAACTCCAAGGGAAGAGCACGAGTATTCCATGATGATTTTGCAACGAGCTAACATTGTCTGCACTACACTCTCCAGCTGCGTTAAGCTAGCCAACTTTATAGACTACTTCGATATATGCATAATTGACGAAGCAACGCAGTGCACTGAACCGTGGACCCTGCTGCCATTGCGTTTTGGTGTGAGGGGTCTTGTCCTAGTGGGTGATACTCAGCAGTTACCTGCTACGGTACTGTCCCAAAAGGCAATTGAATTTGGTCTAGGTAATTCCATGTTCGATCGCATACAGCGGAACTTGAAACAGCATCTGGATAAGCTGGGAGGCAATCATCTTGTTCATACTAAAGTATTTAAGTTGAGCAAGCAATATCGTATGCATCCAGAGATTTGCAAATGGCCCAATAGCTATTTCTATGATAATCAGCTGGTCAACGCCGAATGCACCCACAAATTGATCTCACCCTTTATACCATACTGTGTCATAAATTTAAGCTATACAAGGGACACCAACGATGCAAGCAGTCGTAGCATTAGTAACGATGAGGAGGCACGATTTGTGGCCAAGTTGCTCGTCGAGATGGATAAGCTGATGCCTGTGAAACGCTTTACTTATGGACTGATTTCCCCTTATAGCAGTCATTGCTACACGCTTAGTCAGGTAATACCCAGCCACATGAATATTACACCGCACACAGTGGACGCATATCAAGGCCAGCAGCGGGATGTTATCATCCTATCGAATGCACGGACACGCGGCGTTGGCTTCCTCACTAACTATCAGCGTCTTAATGTGGCAATCACTAGACCGACTCGGTGTCTAGTTATATGTGGAAATTTTGATGATCTGCAGGTAAGACATAACTATAAATCAAGTTAATATTTTATTATACTACCTGCCCTTCAACAGGCTGTTAATATATGGCGTCACTTGCTGGACGATGCGCGCAATCGTAAAGTTTACTTTGATCTGGTGCGCGAAGAAGTTGAGGATTTGCAGAAGTCCCTAATTAGTAAGATGCTAACAAAACCAATTGAAATTACGGATGATACAGCGTCGACGTCCAAGTGATAACTGCAATTGATATTTGCACCACCCAAGTGCCCTAGCATATTACGTACAAATTTAAAACAATATGTATAAATTAACTTACATATATAATTCCCCTAAAACCTGTTTTGTTATATATTTTTCAACACCAATAAACTTAAGTTTTTTGCTTTTATTAATTTCAATTTAGTTTTGTAACATCAATAGAGACTGATCTTATATATAAAACAGTTGCTCAACTCTAATGTGAATTTGAGGAGTCAACGGAATATTTTCATTAAAATGATATCTCATTCTCAAAAGGAACTATGCATATAAATATATATTCATGCACACACAAAAGTTTCTACTGAATGTATTTACTTCCCGTTAGATAACTGAGAAACAAAATAAAAATATTCAACTATTGTTTGTATTGCACTAGAAATAAGCATAACATAAATTGAAAGTCTTTAGATACTTGATCGTACGTATATTGTTAAGTTAACAAACTAAAATGCTCATCCAAAAAATGATGTTTTAAATTACAAATATTTACTAAAGAACATTTCACAATCTAAACTAGGCGCGCCTCTTCTCTGGCATGACTAAACTCGGCTCTCGACGTAGCTGCGTAGAGCTTCTTTATTAATTTAATAATAAGTGAAGAAGTACACATATATGTACTAGATATACATATATATATATCTATATATATTTTTTTTGTTTTTGTTTTGTAAATTCACACACTAGAACATATAAACATTAAATTCATTTCATTGGATCGCTCGATTAGTTGTAGTTGTTGCTGTTTGCCTTTCGCTGGCTTTCACATGCAGTGTTTAATTCGAATTTGTAAAAGGTCAATCTCATAACGCAATTGTAGTTTGATTAAAATTAATGGAATCGCTTAATAACAAATCACCGGTAATCGGATTGCAATTGCACTGTATAATGCCATTATCATAATATTAATCATAATAGTAATTGTAACTGAAATAACTTAAAAAATCGTAAATAACAACAAAATTCTAAATTATAACTAAAAACATAACAAAAAAATTATGCTCAAGAAATTAAAACTATGCAGATATAGTGTTCGATTCAATTGAATCAGTATTTGGGGCCCTTTACATCATCCAAATAGCGCTTGGCGAATGTTCATAATTAGAAATAAATATATTAATGCATATACACATTAATGCATATATACATGAAAATAAATTTCCATTCATAATGAATATATATAGATATATAAAGAGACGTACGACTAAAGCAAACAGTTGTTGTTGTCTAATATTTTTAGTTTAGCATGTCGCCAAGCGAGTCTTTTAATGACTGATAAATTTGGTATTGTTGATCCGGTTTAAGATTATAAATCTGTAAAGGAGGCACAGTTTAAATCTGGCTATATATATATGTTGAAGTTTTAACAAACCTGCGTCAAAAGTTTAGACGGAGATGGAGTTCTGATAAAACTTGAAATGTAAACGTTGACAAAGGTGGCCATCAAAAACTGACAGTCGAAACGATCCATTATGCCGCCGTGGCCAGGAATCATGTCACCAAAGTCCTGAACGTATGAAAAATATTTGAATCAAAGACGTAGATATTAAATGCAACTGCACATGGACTTACCTTAATTTTAAATGCACGCTTAAAACCAGAAGCAAAGAAGCCACCAAACGGTCCAATTATAGAGCTGAACAGACTCAGCGAGATTGAGTGCCAAACGAATGGATAAATATTCAACGTTTTGCCAATACCAAACTGAAAAAGCAGAAAATTGACAAACAAATCAATACTCATTAGGGAAACCATACTGTGTATGTATATTAATCGTTGCTTACCAATTTCAAGCTGTATTCCTGCGGCGTAAACAGATAGCTGGGTACGCAGGACATTGTCATGCGACCTAGTTCCTCCGAATATTGAATGGGGCAGATAAAGTATTGGTAATTGCACAAAATATATGAGAATAATATGCCAAAGAGAACCGTTGCAAAACCACCACCGACAAAGCCTTCCCAGGTTTTCTTGGGGCTCAGCTTGATGAGGGGTGTGCGTCCAAAGAAGAAACCAAATACATAAGCCATGACATCATTGCAAACAATCATCGAAACGGGCACTATAAACCAAATAAGTCCCTCGAATATGTTTTGTATAATTAGATAACTTTGGGTGACGACAATTAGCAGCGAGACGTGCGTCCAGGCAAATAGGCTGAACTGCTTTATATAATATTTCTTGACAAGCGATAGCACGAACCAGACAAACCCAACGATATACAATGCAAACGATAGGAAACGATGATAGGTGACTAAGAACTTAAGGTATTCCTGCAATGAAATTTAATTAAATATAAGCAAATCATCACATTCGAAGCTGTAGGGGATAGCGCAAGCCACTTACCACACGATTGATGACCACACCAAAGTAGTCAACTAGATGTTCGCCATAGAAGAAATAGTTGGAGGTGAGCAAGAAATACCAGGAGAGACTGCGAAACCAGGGCAGGCCATGTATGCGATACACTTGATAGCCAATTGAGATAATCTCCTGAAAGCACTTCACCTGCACGAGCAGCGTCTACAAGTATTGACAAATGGTTAATTGTATGTCACTGTGTGCACCCTTTTCATTTGCTAACGCACCGTAATCATCAAGGCCAGAGGGCCGCCGTAGATGATTAATGCAAATCCACAAATCATAATCCATGTGAATATGCCCCGGATGACCCAGTTCTTCCATCTAAAACAACATTTGCATACGAAACAAATAAACAAATTGCATATTAAATAAATAGATATATTACAAACACTTAGCTACAACATTTGGATAATTCCATGCGCTTCATATATAAACAAATATTTTTAAATATTTAGAATTAGATAGTTATAATTGTTGCCTTTCAATGAAGTTTATTTATGATACTTTTATCTTTTATTAACTTGAGAAAAGATAAAAATAATAAAATGAAGTCGAGAATGCACGAAGGAAGATACTCTGGTCGCAGCTTGAACTATTGTTTGACTTGTATATTAAAAGAGAGGACATAGTTAGATTCTAATAAAGAATGTACACAGTCTATAGAGTTCCCTGTTTATACACTTTTATATACACTTTTAAAAAATCATAATACACTTTAATGAATTTCAACACTTTGCAGGGTATAAAAATGGTTTATTTTTGTTTCTTGATGTTATTTGCACACCGATTGCACACAGCTGTACAATGAAATAATTTTGGAATTTCGCGCATGCTTTAGCTCGCGTTATTATTATTTATATACACACCATAAATCTTTGTTTGCACATACCGATCGGGTAAATCCTTCAGAGCAGAGTCCAAGATCTCAGGCGTTTTGTCGGTGCCTTGGGGCAAATTCTTGGCCAGCTCCTCAACGAACTTCTCTTCTGGTATTTTCTCCTCCTCCGAATCGACCTGAAATAATTTTATCAAAGCCAAACAGCCACTCAATCATCAAAGCGATATATAGAAATTAAAATAGAAAAAAAAATTGAGAATGTTCGAACTCAAAGTCCAAAGACGTCGGCTGATTTATTTAGTATTGTGCAAAGTATAATCGGAACATTTAGACTATTTATCCAAGTTTCTACTTGTTTGGCTCTGGTTGGTTGTTCCAGTGGCGTGTTTTTGTTAGTTTGTCAAAAATTTGGCGGGACTCTGATAAGAAATTTGCAAGGCTAGTTGGAGCCTATGGCTGGGGTCTTATCATTATCATATAGACAAACAGAGCGCGCCCTTATAAAAGAATCATATTGTCAAAGTACGCCGATGAGGTCGTTGGGTGGTTGCTAGGTGGTTGTTAGGGACGCTTCCGTAATGGTCACTTAATTGGATTTGTTTGGAATACACCGGGGTCTTTGTTATTGCCATCGCTGCGTACGTGTGTGTGCGCGCCTATGTATGTCACAGTAAGATTTGTGTATTAGTATATTTGTTATTGGTTTTTCTCCACTCTCCTTCTCATTATATACAAATACACGCAAACTCTCTCTCTCTCTCTCTCTCGTTGTCTCTCTAGATGGCGCTCTTTTACCACCTGCTTGTGCGTCAGAGAATAACAAAAACACTGAACATACAATGTAGGATACACGTACAAGCATACATTTATATAGTATATATCTTGTTGTGTTGGTATACATACAATTCGCTTCTTTTTCTATGCGCTTCAATGAATTATGCAAAGTTTGGAATGCAATTACTGAATACACATATTTACCGATATTTGTATAGTTTCAGTCTGAATTGACCTGGATAACTTACATGATCTGAAGAATCAGCTGCGCTGCTTGCGGCAGTCAGAGCAGCAGCAACCTCGTCAACATCGTTTTCTGCCTTTCTGCGTCGCACTTCTGTCATGCTTATGTTTCAGCAAGCTCCACAATTTTCTTTTGAATGAAAAGGTCTTCTTTCTTAATTGCAGTTGACGCGCAGTTGTAGTGCTGCATAAACAAGAACTTAAAATTTAAATCGTCCGTTTTCTGCTTCTACACAACACACATACAAGCTATTACTACAATCAATTAAAGCAGTGTGACCAGGTATACAAATATTTGAAATGTGATAATTTGTCAACAGCTGTACCGATAGACTATAAATTCGATTACAGCTTAGCGTTCGATACTAATTCGCGTTGTGCAGCACTGTTTTTGTTAAAATTTATATGTGTATGTGCGACCGCCGGCGTCATTTGCGAATTGTATTTTGCATTGCGTTAAGTGAAAAATCATCAAACAAAAAATAAATAATGGCTGCAGCAATTGATGGTGTTCTGCCCGCTACGTTACAAGAATTGGTTAAGAAATCAAAAGTATTAGTAGTAGGTGCTGGCGGCATTGGATGCGAAGTGCTCAAAAATCTTGTGCTCAGCGGCTTTACGGATATTGAAATTGTAAATTGAATTTGTTTAATTTATTTTCATTTAATTATGAGTTTTATCGCACAGATCGATTTGGATACCATTGACCTGAGTAATCTGAACCGTCAATTCCTTTTTCATCGCGAACATGTAGGCAAATCGAAAGCACGGGTAGCACGTGAAAGCGCCCTTAGTTTTAATCCTGATGCAAAAATCACGGCCTACCATGACAGCGTTACGTCGTAAGCATTACAACGTATCCATTATATATCATAATCTAATTTATTTGCTTGCTTTGCAGCACTGACTACGGCGTCAATTTCTTTAAGAAGTTCGATGTGGTGCTCAGTGCCTTGGACAATCGCGCAGCGAGAAATCACGTAAATCGGATGTGTCTCAATGCAGATGTGCCACTGATCGAAAGTGGCACATCCGGCTACAATGGACAGGTCGAATTGATTAAACGCGGATTAACCCAGTGCTACGAATGCACTCCCAAGGAGAAACAACGCAGTTTTCCTGGCTGCACCATACGAAACACGCCCTCCGAGCCTATTCACTGCATTGTCTGGGCCAAGCATCTGTTCAAGTAAGTTGTGTTCGATATTTTTTTATTAATGTATTAGTAACAATGAATTGTTTAGTCAACTTTTCGGTGAATCTGTTGAGGATGAAGACATTTCGCCTGATGCAGCTGATCCGGAAGCACAAGAAGCCGCAGCTGAAGCTACAGATGCAGAAGCTGCTGGTGATGCTCCTGGCAAGGATAAGCAAAAGGAAACAGAGGCAGCCACCGCCAATGGCAACGTAGTTCGCATCAATACTCGACAATGGGCCAAGGATTGCAACTACGATGCTGGCAAATTGTTCAACAAGTTCTTCAATGAGGACATTAACTATTTGTTGCGTATGTCAAATCTGTGGAAATCCCGCAAGGCGCCCGTGCCAGTGCAATGGGACACGCTATTGCCCGACGGCACCAGCTCTGAAGGGCCCGAGCTTGCACGTCAGACGCACAAGATTTGGTCAGTGGAGGAATGCGCTCATGTCTTTGCCAATGCGCTCAAGGAGCTCAGCGCAGCTTTTCTTAAGCTGGAGGGCAACGACACATTGGTGTGGGATAAGGACGATCAGCCAGCTATGGACTTTGTCGCCGCCTGTGCCAATGTACGTTCGCACATCTTTGACATTGAGCGGAAGTCCCGATTCGAAATTAAGTCAATGGCTGGCAACATTATTCCTGCCATTGCCACCACCAATGCGATAACTGCAGGCATATCGGTGCTCCGAGCTTTTAGCGTTCTGCAGGCCAAGTGGGAGCAGTGCAAGGCTGTCTATGCTCGACTCCGTGTCAATGGCCGCAATCAATTTCTTGTGCCGGACGCCTTTTTCCCGCCGCCAAATCCTAGTTGTTATGTCTGCGCCAGTGATCCAGCCATAACATTACGCATTGATACTAAACGTGTCCAAATTAAAGTATTCCGCGATGAGGTTCTCATTAAGACTTTGAACATGGTCAATCCAGATGTGACAGTGGAATCGACTGGCTCCATTGTCATTTCTTCCGAGGAGGGCGAAACTGAATGTAATGAACAAAAGCTGCTGACTGATATGAACATCGTAGATGGCGTTATTTTGAAATGCGATGACTTTTTCCAGAGCTATGAGCTGAGTATTATCATTGCGCACTTCGACGCGGAAAGGGACGATGTCCTATTCGAAGTAATTGCCGACAAAAATCAGCTCCAGCCCAAGGAGGAGAAGCCTGAGGAACCTGAAGCGGAGCCCAGCTCTCGTAAGCGTACGGCAAATGGTAACGATGCGACAGATGATGGCCCCTCAACCTCGAAACGAAGCCGACCTACGGAAGTCGAAGATGATGATGATGATTGTCTCGTAGTTGAGGAGGATGATGATGAGGCTGAGGAAGACGTTGAAGAAACAGTTGTCGCGGCAACAGATAAACTTACAGTAGAGTGCGCACAGAAAACAGCTACAAAACGAAAGCCCTGCAAGACATTGGATGATCATGACGAGGATATTACCGAAATAATTGATTCTTCGGATGAGGAACTTGCCGGTCCTACTAAATGCAAACGATCAAAACTGGAGGAGACAAGAGCGACCGAAGTAATTAATATCGACTAATGTTACTCGTAAAGCGATTCCATGCAACTCTCAAAAGAAAAAAAAAATTAATAACTCCAACTGAATTTAATAAAAAATAAAATTCAAATTTTTTAAACATGCTAATTTTAAGAGCAGCGATCTAGTTCAGTTTATTCCAGTCTAACTCGAATAGTGGAAATCATTTGAGTGGTTGGCAACTCAGTCAGCAGTTCATGATTGATACTCTGGCAACCCTAATGTAGTAAAAGGTGCGTGTTTGTGTAATTATTAGAAAAATATAACTCAAAAATCGCTTTACAGATGTCTTTTACGAGTAAATTACTGCAGAGTAGCGCACGGCTATGGAATGGCATCAATGCCACACGTGGCTTCCACATGTTAATGCGTCCCACAACCAATGCCACAACAACCACAACAGCGGTTCACAATGCCATTGGCCAGGAATTGGTGCCCGCAACTAATTTGGTATCCCTGTTGGCACCTTTTAATGCACTTGTTCAGCAAGTGGCAGGATTTAAAGTGAAGGGACGCTTAAAGCGGCGTTGCAAGGATTGCTATGTTGTTGTACGACAGGAGCGTGGTTATGTCATCTGTCCAACGCATCCGCGTCACAAGCAAATGTCGATGAAGAAACGTGATTACAAGTCCTGGATCCTGACACACGCCACACAATCTAAGGATAGGGGCTATTAATTCATAATATGGTTATTTTTAAATAGTCATTTGGCTTTTGACTTAATTAAAAAAAAAATACTTGAATTAAGCCCGTACATGTTCATACATATTGCCGTTCAAATCAAGCTTACATATAGCACATATAAATTTAAACATATTTCCAACGCCAGGAGGCTAGGAAAACCATTAAATTTTTCAAGAAAAATTAAAAACATTCATTTTTCATTTGCATTTTGTACCGATAGTTTGAAGGCATTACCCAACACTGTTGAACAGCTGTGGATTTGTTTATCTATAATTTTTGTTAGCCGCAATTGCTGTGCAGCCTGATTATCAAGGGTTCGTATCGAACTAACGCCATTCGAAATACAATTGACGTCAGTGAGGGTCGATTCTGGTGCATTCCTGATAAAGCGAAATATTTTCGGCAGTTTTTGTGGCAATGACCAGCCATTTTATGAGCGTACTGCGCCAGGCCTTCAAGACTTTCGATCGCGCCAATCTTGCCAGCTTCAATGCCAATCTGCAACATCTGAAACAGTTAACTGATGAGCTAACTTATCGTGATCTCCATATAAAGGAGGAGCTGTTCCGTGATGATGCCACCAATGTGTCCCGAGCACCATGCAGTTATATGCACATCTTCGAGGATGAGCGCTTCTCCATGAGTTTGTTCATTGTGCGCGATAATAATTCAATTCCACTGCATGATCATCCCATGATGTATGGCCTACTGCGCTGCATCTGGGGTAAGTTGCATATCCAGAGCTACTCCCAGAAACTGGCCGCCGATGAGATGGTTCAGTATGAGAAGAATCCAACACTGGTCAAAGTAACCGCCGAGGAGCCCAGCGTGGTAACAGCTGAATCATGCAGCGCTTTACTAACGCCCCGCAAACGAAATTATCATCAGATTACGCAAGCCGGCAACGGCATTGCAGCCTTCTTCGATATACTTAGTCCTCCATACGATGCCGATATGCCGAAATATGGTCCACGCCTTTGCCGCTTCTATCGCCCTAAGCCGGATGACGACGAGCTGCAGTTGCAGTGCATTCCGTCGCCGTCTAGCTACTATTGTGATTTAACCCCAACGCCCAAGTCTGTGCTGAAATGCTGTTTTATTTGTGCCGCCGAAGTTTATGGTGCCGCTGACTCCGACATTCAGTGAATTATATCCTTAAAAAATGTATGTTAAAATGTGAACTTAATTTATTTCCACTCAACATGAACATCACATGCTGCGTATTAGTAGGATCCGCAACATTAAGCATTTTCTGTGTTATTTAAATAAAATTGCCTCTTTTTTATTATATACTTTAAACTGGCTTGGGATCAAAACAATCAATACCTAATCTGAGGAGGTCGAGATAAAATTCGTACGCTAATCGTCATCTTCAGCTTGATATATGCTTTGATTTCGTCTCTTTAGTTTCTTCAGATTGGGACTAATACAAATGGGTGTAGTCTCTTCCACTTTTGAATCCGCTATGGTAGCCGTCGCCAGCTCTTCAATTTCGTCGGGCAGCTCAATGACGCTTTTGTCTATCTCGACTGCTACAATTGGCGCTGGTAGCGACATATTTAATTTACGTTTTGGAGGCGTTGCCAGAGGTTCGACTAATGTAGGCATATCCTGCTCCAATTTCGCTTGATCCTCCTTAACGTCTATTGAGCTGTCCAGCAAGCTAGCGGTTTGGGGCAAATCTTTTCCACTAGCCAGCATGGCCAAGCAAAGTGGATCATCAATGCCCAAAATGGAGCAAAACTCATTGGACTGTGGATTCAGCATTGGATTTGCTTGCTCAATATATTTTTGCTTGTAATTGTGCTCCTCATGTGGATCGAATGGCAGCACAGTGCGACAAAAGTTCTCAGGCACATTAAGGCTTTCGAATTTGGCGCGTATGTGCTCCAGCTCCTCGTCAGTGGGCGTGAAATTACAACGCTCTTCAATACTACCTGCTTTCTTGCCAGGTAAATAATAATTATTATCTTTTACAGAAATTAAATGATTCGTTGTTCGCAATATCGAAAGCCATTCGGCATCATATTTTAGCGTTAATTTGCCTTCACTGCTCTCATTAGAGGGTATGTCCAATACTTGTAGAAAACGTCGCCGTGGTAGACATTTGTCTAGAGCCAAGAACTTAGTGACAGGCACTGGCGCTGCTACTACATTCTCTTGCAATTGGTTGCTATCGTCGTCCTCATTTTCGTCTTCACTTTCGTTACTGCTGCTGCTGCTGGCATCGTCGGCATTCCTTGATTTTTTATGATTCCTAGTATGTGGCACAAGCGCAGCGAATTTACAATGTAAATGAGCAGCAAACCAATATGTAGGTTGCACAGCCTTTAAAAGTTCTTCGAGCGGTCGACTGCCTAGCTGTCCGCTTTCGATGTCTTCCATAAAATGTGGTTTAAACCGTAGCAGTTGAGCCTTGTTGCCATATTCCTGTATTCCCCTGGGCCAATCGTGCGACATGAAGATATCTACCTTGCCGGACAGTTGCATCAGGCGAAACACCTCCAACTGCCGCACATGGTAGACACTGCGACATGTTTTGTCATTGTATGGCGGAAATTCGTGATGACCGCGCAAAAAATCGTGGCCTTTATATATACCACTGATGCCTGCAATACGAATGCCATTTACTGTGATAACACCTGCATATCCAAGGTAATATATATTAGGTGCTACCCAGCCACCGTAGGGTAGCTCTTGCAAATAGTTGGATGCTTCATGATTGCCCCCAATGAATATTGTGAGAATGGGCGCCACGAGTTCACCACTGTAATATCTGTAAGCAAGTTGATTAAATAAAATTTATATACGTTATAAGCTTAGATACGGACTTGTAAAAGGTGCACATGTCCATGTACTTCCTTGGCACAGCCATTGTTTGTAAGTCCGTAACATTTCGCGTAGATTGAAAGTCTCCGCAGCACAAGAGCAGGTCGATTTTAATGTTCTGTTCCTTTTCGATACCTTCAATAGTTTCATATATGCGCTCTAGTTCGCCATGGGCGCAGCCTTCAACAGCAATTTTCATATCTTAGCTTTATTAATTTACGTTCATAAAATATAAACAAACGCGGCATTAATACATTCAGCATTTACATGTGAATGGCAGAACCCATACAAATATTTATCTGTGAGCCTCCACAATACTATGCATTTGTAAAAATCAACATCTAATACAAATTTTGTCATTGCACAGCACTGAAATTGGAGGGTCAATTTTAAAAAGCTCACAACTCGACATCAAACTATGGAAACATTGCAAATTATAAACAAATAGAATAGTTATAATTCAAACGTTAAAAATGTTTTTATTTTTCAAAAATATCGCTCCGTCTATTACGTTATATAAGTGTGTGTATGTGTGTAAAGACAATGTAAGTGAAATGCTCTACATTGAATTCTCATTCTCTGACCACTGTACGCTGGAGTGTGTATGATCCATGCTTAGCTGGGCGCGATCTCATTCTATGAGACGACTTCTAAATAGTTTTTCTTTTTAGTTACATACAATGATATACAATAGACTTTCAACTTAAGTTACTATAATTTAGTTGGCATGGAATTGCCAAAAATAGAAATTTAAAATATAAATCTACAATAAATATAAAGCGATCACCCTACCCATCCATCGCTCAACCGATCGATGCATGCAACACGTGTAAATGTGTAAATGTGTGTACATAAAATATGTACGAGAATCTAGAGATTGCCTCAACAGCCATCATATCAAGTGCCAGCCACTAGTTAGTTATTTCTTTTTTGTTTTCGTTATGGAAAGAATATGAGAAACAATGAAGTCAGAAGAAAAGCGTACTAATAAGTCGGTGTCCCACAGTCAATTAAGAGCCAAACTTAAACGATGTCGGCACGGTGGTCTGAGGGAAGGCAAATCCGCCCTGCTTTTCAATTAGTTTTGATTCTTTGGCCGCCTTTCGCTGGTCAGCGGTCACGACCACATCCTGCAGCGCTTTGGCCTGTTCGGGTGTTAGGTTCGATGTTAGCAACGAGTACCATGGCTGGTCTTGGGCAGAAAGTGCTACAAATACAGAACAGCACAATGTAATAATAGAATTATTATAAACTTTAGTTTGATTTACCAGTTATAACTTCCTTGAACGTCCAATATTCATCAATAGCGCTCTCGTTTTCTTCGTCATCAATCGGCGTGGTGAATGTTTCGAGACCAGTTTCATTCAAATCGCCAACTGACTCTTCTGCTTCATCATCAGAGTCTTCATCGTCATCCTTGATTTCGGCTTTCACCTCAAAGCCAGCTACAGCACCTTTCGTTTTGGAGAAATCGGCTAGCTTGTCCAAATAATTGGGGGCCATCTCATCCATTTCATCTTCATCGCTTGAAAGGGCCTCTGTAGGCAACAATTGATAGGTTAGTTTTACCTAATATTAATTTGTGTCTATTTTCATTCTTACCCTCGCAATCATCACCATCCTCCTCTTCTTCTTCCTCTTCCTCCTCCTGAGCACGCGATTCGTAGGCTCGTTTTAGCCCGTCGAACAGCAGTATCAGCGAAGGTACAATCTTACTCGCAACCTCGCTCAGCACTTGAGGCTTGGCATCGCCCAATGAGATAAGTGTACACAGACCCAAGACACACAGCTTGCGATCATGTATTCTAAACGAAACGAATATATTTGAAAGTCTCCAATTTGAGTTCATAAAGTAGTGACTTACCCAAGGAAACAGTCTGTATCGTGCAACCATTGCTTGATGAAATGCGAGCTGATTGGTTCGTTGTTTGGTTGCGACATCTTGTCCAGGATGGAGAGCAGCAACTGTGGGTTGTAATATAGGGCTGCAATGACCACCTGTAGGCACATGGTCCGCAGCTCGGATGACTGCACCTCGCGTGTCAAACGCGACAGAGCTAACTCCACAAACATGTGTATCACCGAATCAATTTGTCCCTTACATTGCAATATAATGACCTCCATCAATTTAGCAGCATGACATTCGGGATCCTCGCCAGGATTACCAGTTAGCATCTAAACAAAACCCAATTAAAGTAATATTAAACATGGCTAGCAAAGTCTAATAATAAGCTTACTGTTTTGCACATGTCCAGTATAGCCAAGAGACGGTTCGGATTGGAGAGGAAGGCCGGCGTATCGACAGTTACATAGTTATGCAGCGCCGGCATAATGTCAATGAAGTAATCAACGCCATCCTTCTTGAATACTTGATAGATGAGTTCTAGCATTTGCCACATTTCAGCCGAAATGGACTTCGATGTCAAATCGTACACAAGTGAGAACGTTTCCTCATAGAAATCTGTGATACAGACAAATTAGAATCAACCAATCCTTGACACTCGGCCGTAGATGACCTTACCGGTAATGTTCTGCTGGAATATATGACCCACAACGTTAATCACAATCGGATGCAAATTAAGCAGCACATCCGGATGTTCCTCCATAACGCTAAGCAGAGTTTCTATTGTATTCAAAAGACCCATGGCCGTAATGGCTTTCTCATCGGATCCTTCCTCCGATTCCAGCACTTGACTAAATGTTGTTGCTAAATGTTGACAAATTTCTGTTGCAACTGGCAGTAGTTGCTCCGTAAAAGTGCAGACTATCTTCTGCATGACATTTGTCAAGTCTTCGTTTTCAGTTTCGCGAATGATGGTCAACAGCTCCTTTGTAATCTCTTTGATTTGTGACTCCACATATTTTGGTGCTTCGTCTTGAGATGATAGGAACATTTGCAGGCCAATGGCGGCTTCCACCTTAACGGGAAGCTCTTTGTCCGTCAGCAAGGCGTTGGTGGTCAGGCGCATTGTCTCAGCTAGCACCTGTGGATTCTTGATTTGAACATCGCAGAAGTAGTGCAAAACCCAACAGGCACGAGCACGCATATGACCGGCTGGATTCTGGAATTCCGGAAACACATAGGTGGTCAGCATGGACTCGACCTGATCACGATACAGCGTTTTCTTCAACAAAACATCCGCCAATGTGCCAATCATATGAAGTGCACCATCTTTTTGCTTGTTGTCCGCATTGGGCGAGGTAATTATTTGCATTATTGTACTCATCGCTTTAGGCAAAATGCCCTTTCGTTTCTTACAGACGGAATGCAGCAGCGACTGAGCAGCTGGTACAGGCGTGGCATAATCCTCAAAGATATCTGTAGACGACAGGTTGTATGATGATATAAATATATATGAAGAATGTTTCTTTTAGTACTTACCAAATTTGAGGCGAATGTATTCATAGGGATCGCTCTCCCATAGCTCCTGATCAGAGTCGGTAAATGACATAATAGGAAATATGACATCCTGAATAACAGCTACCATGTGCGGTTTGATCAGCTTCCAGGTATATGCGTGGCTCACACTAACAAGAAAAATATATATAATTTCTTATTGATTTAACATTAAGCAAACTTACGCAATTTTCAGATAGTTCAACACATCGGTTAAAACACGCGGCGAAACGTAAACACGATTGCGATACTGATCCAAGATTTTGAGCAGAACCTCCAATACACCAGAACTAAAGGTAGGAAGATACCACTCGGCGAACTTCTGATACTTTTCGCTAACGACGCTGCTGGGACTGCCATAGCTGTAAATTAAAGGAATGTCATCAAATTGGAAGCTTAGAAGAGATTTCCCAACACTTACCGCTCAAACATGCGCACCATAATGTGCAGCGCCCATTTCTTGGTCTTCCAGTATGGGAATTCGGTACGTTCATCATCATCCAGATGTGAACAGTCGGGCACAGCGCGATCGGCAATCTGGCGACAGATTTCCATCCACTGCGAGAAGATCTCTTTAGTGATGAGATCAAGCGGCAGACTGTACTGCGTTAGTGCATAATAAATCTTGAGTATTTGTTTTTGCAACAGCACCGATTGCTCCGACTGATCGTTGAGCAACGTCATCATGAGCTGATAAATCATTGGCAACAGCAAATTCATTGCTTCATTGAGCGGCGTACGTTCTTCGAATCGCTTGTATTCGTAAGTCTTGACCAGCTGATACATGGTGACCAGTGCGCCATTCCAGCCATTCACATCTGGATTTTGCAAGTATATGCTAATATTGTCTACTACTTGGGGCCAACGTCCGGGGAAATCGCTCTTAATGATATGGTTCACACAAACAGACAGTTGAACTCTGTAGAGGACACATCACAGTCATGATTAGATTTATCAATTTATGAAATATTGCATTATGTCATTGCATCTTACCTAATCAGCTCCGGAGCGTGTACAATAGCATCCACAATGGCGCTGCGTATCATGGCGCGATCCTGTTCGTGAATAGAAAATGGTATGGGTTCTCCAGGCTTTGTCTCGTGATCTGACCAGCTGCTGTTGATCAGATTCTTGAGATAGACGGCACCTGCCTGCCGCACCGGCTGCTCCAGCGTGGTTTGCATGACGATTTGCAGAATGGTAGGCACAAAACCAATGATTTTGTGTATCTGGGCGATAGAACATGAGAGAACATGTGTAAATAGGTTTTCCGTCTGTTGATTTGTTTATACAGCTGCCGCATAACATGGTGTATGCCGTATGAGTAATATAATTTAGTGGCACACACAATGGATACAATTTCGCATGCCAATCCAAAGATTGGAAAACGTGTATTGATAAAACAATAGCAATGCATGTAGCACCAGCTACGAAGCTCCTCCCAATTCGTAACACTTAAAATTCTAGGCACATTTTCTACATATATACGTGTATATATATCTATAAGCTATATGTATATATATGTAAATGGCATGCGTTTACCCATTAAAGAAGCTTCGAACACTGTAGTAGTAATTTGCAATATATGCTGATAAAGTTAATTAACCGATTGAATAAGGAGGGGCATGGAAATCGTTAGAAGCTGACTCAGCCACAAAATAAGATACTCTTGGACAGTGGTACAGAATGCTAAGCTAATTGAATGAAATTAAAATGCTGTTTCATAGTGTGCACTTCCAAGAGAACTTAATTACTGTCAATTAAATACAAATCTTGCTTTTTACTCGGAAGACTTAAAGTATAACATTCTAGATGTTAACCAATTTTTTAATTAAGGTATATTAGAATTCTTGACATAATATTATCTAATTTTTTCTTTGATAGTAAGAAATGAGTTAGAAAATGGAAGTTTGAGATAATCAA